AACAATTTTATTCACTTATAAAAAGGAAATATAATATGTAAAAATGAGGAAGAAGCCAATTTTTAATTGATCTGTTTGAGAGAAGAAAAAATTACTTGATCAATTAAAAGAACTCAACCAAGAAATTAATTTAAACAACACAATGGAGTATTTTTTAGAAAAATGTCTTAAAATTCATATATACATCAAATTGTAAATACTTCATCTAATACTTTATATAATACTTCATATAATAAAAATTCATGTTTTTGTATTTTATTGAGGGTAGTATCAGGTTGTACCAGACACGGTTCTTAAAGATGCTCGCTTAATTGATGGAATGGTTGTTGGTGTTAATAAATCAGTTCTACATATCGGACAGTTAGAAAATCCTTGTAATAATAATTGTGTCAAACAATCAAAATGTATCTTGTGACCACATTTTAACATTCCGATTCCAGTTAATGTATCTTCCAAACATATCATACATTGAACATGTTCGTTTTGCATATATGATATTGATTTTTCCTTTTTCCTTTTCGAAACACAATCCACAAGCATCACAATGAAATGATCTATGTAATTTAACTCTACAAACACCACATTTTACACAATGATAAGGATCTTTCGAATAATCATCGTAAACCTTACATTTGTCACAAAAATAATCAGCCAACTTTTTCTTACACTTGAAACAATATTGATGAATTCCTTGCTCAAATCCACAATAATTACACATTATCCAGGAAATATCTTTTGGATTGACTTTTTTATTGCAAAAATGATCTTTATTATGACAATGATGACATGGATAAAATCTTTCACAACATTTAAAATAAAAAGAACAATTTTTTTTAGAGTGTATACAATTTGTAAACATACATTGATACTTCTGTATCCGAGACATTTTTTCATCAATCTGTTTTTACATGGAGGGGTAAATTATATATATACACACATCTTCACCTATTCAGCTACATAGGAAAATATTTTTCAACATTACTGTTCATAACTACTTTCATTTGTTCGAAAATGTTGATGATTATCATCATTTTCATCCAAATATTTTTTAATACTTTAATAAATGCTTCAATAAGTGATTTTTGTTCAAAGATATATTTCTTTTCAGTTGCATCAAAATTCATTATTAAATTATCTTCTTGACATTCATCAATAACATCAAAAACCCTGCACTGCTTTTTCCAACTCAAAATAACATCTGAAGATAGAAACACTTTATTCGAAATATCAACATCAGCATCATCATCAGGAGTTAAGAAAAATACTATAGTTCTGCTTCGCCAATCCGCCATTATCACCAGCAAGAAATGATACTAAACATCTAACACTCAAATGTCAATCAAACTTCGTCTTCTTAAATATATTTTCTACATCATCTGGTAAACTGAAGCGATCTGGTTGTCGCATGATGATTGCGGTGATATATATAATACTTTATCCATATTAAATTTGCATTTGAAGACCGCAACCATTTTCCGAAATTTCAGCAATTAATACAATAATTCTGTACAAAACAGTCATTTTACCAGTAAGAAATTATATTATGCAATATCCGCTACTTTTACCATCTTATATATATCATATAGTTACTATTACAATTTTTCAATAATATTTTTATAAAACACTTTAATTAAATCCAATTGTGTAATGTTTATAAAATTCTTTTCATCATGATAATAAAAGTAGTCTTCCAATTTTTCTATAAATATGTCAATACTATCTTTTTCGCTGATTATCATCCCTTCATCATATAATTTGAAATTAAATTTTCTTCCATCTTCAATTTCTTTATTAAAAATAATCATTCCACCACCATCAATGAATTTAGATATATATTCTGATTTCATAATAATTTGACTTAAATCTTTTTCTTCATCAAAATCTTCATCGCTCAAATATAAAAGTAATGCTATGATTTGAAGATTTTGCCATTATCAATTAGACAGCAAAACATTCAAATGAAAATAAATCTTTTATTGAAGATTTTACATTAAAGAGTGATAAAAAGGTAAATTCGAATTTTTAAAAATAAAAAAGAAATATGATGAAAAATTGAGAAATTCGAATTTTTATAAAAAATAGAAATATGTTTTTATTTATTTACTAAAAAGTGTAATATATAAATCCTTAATATCAATGTAGAGTAGATAACCACATTGGTATTGGATAAAGAAAGATGGAAAAATGATGTGATAACCCTTCCAAAAATATGGTGGTTTTGGAAATATTTCATATGGAAAACCGCCAACATTTCGTGAATTTAATAATTTTAATTCACACGTATTTCTCCTCTAAAATATGTAAGCAATCAACATGTACAAAATATCTATTGTGAAATTGAATCTTCTGTAAATTCAAAAGTTTTTCTGAATTTAACAAAATAATACCAGTAATAAATGGAGAAATAAAAAATTGAAGAAAGACTTACAGAGAAAATTGATGAATTTATAAATCATCTAAGAATAGAATTTGAGTTTAATATAAAAGAAATGTATGAAAAGTAGAAAAAAGATATAAAGTAAGAAAAAAAAAGACAAACAAAAGATTTTATTAATTCAAAATAAAATTATTTGAGTAAAAATGTTTGTTATATAAAAAGAAAAATAAAAAACCCATAAAAGGAAGCATTACAATGATTGGTTACTAGTAATCATTGTGAGGCTTGCTTTCATGGTATTATTACATGATGAAAAGAAACTTATATATACATCAAGACGTGAAGATGAATATATTGCGATTTACAATCGATTGAGAGATTTAGCGTATTTGACTTTACGTCATTATACCCCATATGTTCAAAAGTGATAAAATGCGTCAAGACAAAATACAAGAGAAAATACTAAACCACATAATGTGTGACATACCATCTTCTACAAATTCTTTTACATGCGTTTGTGTACAAATAGAAGATTGGATTAATTGGTTTTGGGACGACAAAGTTGGTGAAAAGACTGAGTCATATTTGCGTTTCTTTCTTGTCGATGATGTATTGAATCGAAACAATTTATACCATCAGTAAATTGGACTTTGGCAAAATTTAGAATGTGTAACATACAAGTTGGATCAAGTTTTTATCCATGTCTTTGTTTACAAATAGAAGATTGGCTTAAATGGTTTTGGGATACTGAATTTGGTGAATTATATGATTCCTTTTATCGATTTTATATTGTGGATAAAGCATTGAAGCGAGACAATTTGTATCATCAATAAATTGGACTTTGAACTTTCCATATTATCATTAAAAAATTGGACTTTGGACTTTCATCAATGTAATTAATATTATATTATATTATATTATATTATATTATATTTGAAATATATCTTTTTTTATAAAATCTTCTTGTTTATATATTTTATATTACTCTTATCCACTATTGTAATATATATATGTATATTATCACAGGCTCACCCTTCTCTATTTTTATGTTTACTACCGCTGACTGCCTCAAAAACGATCCCCCCGGTTTTTTTCATTATAAGATGTATTATGACTATTTTTAGACATAATACATTTTATAATAAAAAAACTTGAGCCTGCGATGATATATATATATATATTAGTTAACTACTCCCTCAACGTCCTTTGAACTAAATATCCCTCATCCGTGTGTTTGGGAGCAGGGAAATACGCTGTTAATATAAATAAACTGAAACAAAGGCAAACATGTTGTTATGTTATTATGTTATTATTTAGTAGCTAAATATAAAAGTCAGTTCACCTTAACGGGCAAGCGGTGTAGGTATTTCAAATCTTGTCTAATAAGCACATTTTTGATGTGCGTATAATTAGAAAATTAAATTGCTTCTTGCTACATTGATTTATTCCTTTCTAAATAGTCTACTTTACTTTTTTAATTGAAGAATTGCTGTCTCAACCATGGAAATGTTATGATAAATCAATAATGCACCAGCAAAAGTTCAGAATGATGGAAGAATATGGAAGAAAAATCAAGAAAAGTTAAACTTGTAAATGGTGTAAAGGTTATTTGTTCTGAAGAGTTTTGCTTGGTAAAGGAAGTGATGGAACTCGTGTTTACCTTGGTCGGAAAAGATGGTTACGGAAAAGCTGTAAAACGATGCTTCGATAACTGTGCGGAGTTGGCCAAACGAGAAAAGATATTTTGAATGAGTTTAATGCCAAGCGTTCAAATTATGTTGTGAATTATTGGTATCTTGAAGAAGAACCAGGCACAGATTATTTGTATTTGATATTAGATTTGTGTGAAGAATCGTTAGAAAGTTTTGTGAAATCTTCTACTTTGCAATATCTTCAAAAAACACTTCCTACAATTCTTAAGCAGATTTTAAAAGGTTTAGCTGATCTTCACAGCGGTGAGCGTCCTATTCTTCATCGGGATTTAAGACCATCAAACGTTCTTCGAGATGTACAAGGAAATTTTTAATCGCTAACTTTGGTATAAGTCATATGTTATCTGATGAAACTTCGACACATTGGAGCATACAAAGAGGAGCTAAATATTGGATAGCTCCAGAGTCATATGACGCATCAGATGATACAATTAATAAAGTTCGTTACAAAAAAGAGTCTGACATTATGGTAGGTTCTTGAAGTGGAGCTAGAGGTCTAACTACAGCTCAATGTTTTATTTACATTTGAATGTTGCGTTTGCTAGTGATAATGATTTTAAATAAATTTTTTCTTTACCTCCACTGTACAGTAAATACAAATTGTTCTGTATAAAACATAAAAATATGTATATGTATGATAATGAACTGATTGTTGTTATTGCCTTATTGGTTTTACGATTGTATGTCTCTCATTTAGATTTCTCTAAAAAATTTATGGCTACGATTCTTAATTGGAGAACATTTTGCTGATTTTTTTTGTATTTGAAATTGTATTTTTTGCAACTAACAAATAAGTTAACTCCATTTTTTATTGAAAATAGAATGCCGGAATGGTGGCTTATTATGTTGCAACAAAGGGAAGACATCCTTTTGGAGATGAACGGCTTAGACTGGACAACATTTTGAAAGGAAACCCAGTTGGATTGAACGAAATCATGGATGCCACGCTCAAAGACATTTTATCGTGGATGCTACAGCTAAAACCGGAAGACAGACCATTGGCCAACGAAGCGTTAAAACACCCTTATCTACAAACCGATGAAGAGAATTTTGATTTGCTGTGTGATGTTGGGAATGAACCAGAAATAAAGATATCATCTTCACATTCTCTTACCTCAGATGTTCGTGAGCAGTTGAATCTTTCAGTAGATTGGATGGACCGTATCGATCCTGAAGTCTTTAATCATTTCAATAAAGTATCCTACGACTCTACATGGTTAGGTTGCCTAAGATTTTTACGAAACGTTCGCCAGCATTGGCATGATAAACCTCGTCCACAACTGTCATCATGTGTTAAAGATGGAAACTATCAAGAGTATTTTCTTCGACTTTTTATGGAACTGCCTCTTCTAGTTCACAGAACCATAAGACCTGCTCTAAAGAAACATTTCGCAAGTAAGACACAGAAATGAATTTCCATTTTCGATAGCCAAGGTATAAATTAGGGGTCCATGACACTATATTTGTTATTTTCACTCTAATTCTCCTCTTCATTTACTGTACTTAATGCATGTATGTTTTTAATTCTGTATATTGCCGTTGCAAACATTTTTTAGACAGTGCACATCCTGTAAAACGTGAAGAAGGCAAGGGAAAGAAAAGCAAAGCTGTTATTGATTACGTTGATCTTAACGGTAAATAGCTATGTAACAACAAACTAATTCTGTGTACGTGTCACTTTTCTTAAATATTCTACCAAAAACCGTAATCTCTCCACTTGTATCTGGTGCATCGTTTCCTAACTTTGTGCGACTGATAAAAACGGTTCAAGCATGTGTAATAGTACAAGCAATAGTCAAAAATCTTTAGACGAGATTAACGATTTGTCAGATATCCAAAGATAGTGAAGAGTACCTACGAATCATCGTATCGTAAAATGAAACTTATAGCTTATTATGTTGTCAAACCTGTAAAGAACACATATGCAATAATAAATATTGCGTATCTTTTGCTTTAAGTCAGCTAATGCTTTTACGTCGTATGCATTAATGCTGAACTTTTGATTTTAAGCTTAAGTGAAACTATAAATAATGTGAATTAAATGTAGAAAGTATTAAAGGGAAAACATACTATAGTAAAAAGTAATAGTACTGTGTACCATTCGATAGCATAACCAAATGCCTATAGTTAACATAATTTTTTGAAGATCCTTTTTCGATTTGGTAAAAATACACTCAGATTTTTCATAGTAAGACCATCTTACACAGCAGTCACGACGAAATCAGTATGATCAAGTTTGTTTACAAAATATATGACACTTTGTCGTAAACAAACAACCATTTACAGCTCCAAAAATCTGTTAAAAAGTTAAGTAGCCAGAAGGGAACTTTCTTTTTGTGCGGTGTTTAACTAATAAAAGCTTACATTTGTTGCAATACTTTTTAATAATATTATCATTCTTAAATGTTTCAAATTTACACTGCTTCAGCTTCTGAGGAAAAGAAATCTCTGCTGTATCCACCAAATGATAATGACAGTGATGCTGATATAGCTATAAAGTCTACATCAGGACCTAGTAAGTAATGGAATTTTATATGCAAATATTTACACAAACGTAATCCTTATTGCCTTTTGAAATGTTAAGTACAAACAAGAATGCAATGTAACCATTCAGATTCGTTTATATCTTCCTTATTCACATACTTTTGTTAACGGTCAAAAATGTGAGATGTAATGAAGAGTGAAACAACGAAATAACTCAGCAAGTATTCCTTTTATCTTGCTATGATGTATTAACCGTATAATATAATGCATTGATTTTCTTTTTTCGTAGATGAAGCTCCCCGTCCCAACACGACTGAATTTAAAAATACGTTTTTAACCAAAGGTTGCAAAATTAAAGATTGTGTACATGAAAAATTGAAAAGGTAATGATTTCTTATCATATTTAGTATAATTTTGATTCATTTGGCTTCACAAGCCGCCATCATGCTCATTTTTTCGTTTTCACATTCACAGATTTTCTTGGCTTTGTGGCAAATATGGCATAGCCTATCCCAACAAAGAGATGCGTTATCTTCATTTGTACCTCGAAGTGGACAATAAAATGAAAAAGATTGATTTGAAACCAGAAATCAATAAGGTTTTTGACGGCAATGCTTCAGAATACATTGAATTACGTTTTGTCAACCCGTCAGACGACATTATAATTCGGCCACTATCCAACATCATGGTTCTCTCAAAGCGCAATAATGAGCATAATGAAAAATCCCGTGGCACGTTGACTCTGTTCAGCTGTAAAGATGGAAAACATTACGCGTTGACTTGTCTTCATGTTGGATATGGAAAAGTTCCGAAAGAACAAATGAATAATCAATTCTTTTACATTCGAGACAAAATTGAAAATGATAAATTGGCATTTAAGAAATTTCTACTAAAAAACAAGTACTCTTATACTCATCAAAACAGCATAACAATACCTCTTGGCGAGCTATTTCATTACTCATTTGATCTTCAAACCGACATCATGGCAATCTTAATTGATGACAAAGAAGATAACTTTACTGCGGCTGAAATAGAGATGCCGAGTTCTTTCGATGCTGTGTTTGATAATTTGTTATTGAAGGAAAATGAAAAGTTTATAAAGTTGGCGACGAGTTTGGCTTGAACGAAATTGCTGACCTCAGTCGTAGCGTTTTTGACAACAGCAACAAAGAAGTGTTTCGTGACATAGTGGCAGTAAAGAGTGATAACGAATTCCTCCGGCCTGGAGATTCTGGTTGCCTAGTGTATTATTATGATGAAAACAACAAAAAGATACCATTTGTGTATGGAGTTGCTGCAGTGACCAAGAAAAAAAGAGACGTATTATGTTTGCATGAGATTAAAAGATGGTTTAGAAAAATTGGGACTTCTCGAAAATGTCTCCTTCAAAGACTTTTCATGGCACTAAATGATTACTCTTTGTGATGAACAACATGTATATGCATCATTTAAAACCTATGTACTCATTTAACTTATGTTCATTTTTATTTACATGTATCAATTTGTTTAGAATTTATTCATTTATTTATGTATTTATTTATTTTTTGCGAAAGTTCCTACTGTAGCTAAGAACTTGTTTTAGTAATGTCCTTATCTTCAACATGATTTCCGTCGCTATATATCATGAAAACGGTGTATTCAAAGATTATAATTATTAGTGATCGAGCTGTATTTTACAACTAAATACAGCTATAGAACAATATTTGCATCTGTGGCTAATTTAAAGGTACAGAAGAAAAAATAGTCAAGTTTTACCGACACCAGTTTCTGAGTAAATTAATTGAGTACTTTCATTACTTCATATTCATTTATAATTTTTATAATTAAAATATGTCAAATACGACTATGTTTTTTTCAATGTTTTGTCACGAATGCTATCTCTTGCAAGGACTCAAATTATATGGTGATTTAACGACACGAGCATTCATCTTGTCAAGGTAGGAGAATATCTTTACTCGAAAAAATGTTCACGAAACGTTGATATGTGCTCATATCAAAAGGAGTTTCCACGATTATTATAAATTCGTAATACAGAGTTCACGATTCAAAATTCTAAGCTGCCGGAAGGATTTACCTTCCAATTCTCAAAGCTTGGCATAAACAATGTATGTTATAATCCCTTCTATGTTCAGACAAAAATTACATCAAATAATTGAGTAGAGTTAGCTTGATGATTCTTAGCGCGTGCTAATTGAATTGTCTGTCTCCTAAGAGTTGGTGAAATTTCATGGGACCTTTGTTCGTTTCAGCCTCGAAATCCGGAAAGACATCACATAAGTTAACCATTATTGCAGTACAGCTTTTTTACTTTGCCCAAGTAAATTTGTAGATGAACAATAGCACGTTTATTGTGGTGTGGGGTGATGCGTGATGGGGTGAGTCGCAATTAAATATTTAATCATAAACATTATTGTAACTTGTTTGTGTAACCTTGTGACGTCAAGAGCAATAAAATTGAACGAAACCTTAGTAAATTTTTGTAAATTTATCGAAACGTGGGTGATGTCATTGGTCATTATAAATAATCATTGTTGTTGAGTGATAAATGTTTTTCTTTCATGATTTCCTGATCGATTTCTTAGATTTCAACTTCTTCGTTTAAGGGGATTTATTTGAATCGGGTGACAACTTTGTTAACGTAAAATTTAGCGAAGGATATGTTTTCGGTGGTTTCGATTTGAGCTTCTTCCTTTTTGCCGAACCTACTACTTATGAAAGAAATAAAGGCGTGCGGGATGGAGGACATGGGTCATCTTATTAAAAATGGAGAAGAAAATCCTGACATCAACTGAAGATAAGTAAGGTAATGTTGGTGAGTCTAAAGTGGACTGGGGACTAGTAACATGAATGTTAATTTTTTTTAAATGGAAACATCGTTGTTAGTAGAAATATAATAAATATTTACGAAATGAACTTAAATGAAAATAGTTTTATAACCATTTTTTAATTTAAATAAACGAGAAATATCATTTTATGTTGCGAACTTTTTAAAGGTTTGGTTATTTGTGTATTTTACAATGATTCTCAGGGTTAGTAAGTATTGCCGTATTTGTTATAAAGTTATCACTTACATATTTATTTCCTCTCCAGGACTGGCTCCTTTCCTGGTTTTGTATGAAGGAAAGCTTGAACAAAGGGAAGGTATAAGGAAGTTATCATGTGACATGATTAATGCACAGATAAAATGAAAAATGTCATGAGAATTGTGTGATATTCACTGGTATTGGTAATTTTAAAAGTTTTGATATCAGAAAGGTGTTACCAAGTGTCATTTGAATGCAATAGTTTCAGTCTCCTCAATCATTTATTTATCGCAACATTATTGTCCACTAAAAATGGTGACTGTATGTCATATGATGTTTTTCATGTATATTTCAGGATATATTTCTGGAAAAGAATTGGAGAAGTGTTTTAGAATGCTCCGTTTGTGATTATATCTTTAAAGCTCAAGGAAAGGTGAATGGTTTGTATGTAAGTTGTTGGTGATTGACATCATACACTTGTGATGTATTGAAGACTATTTATATAGTTGATCAGTTTTAAGCATGTATCATTTGCCAATATATATTTGTCAAACAATAACTGCACTTTACTTTCTTAAATCAAGTATTTGCTAATTTCAGGTCAGTTTTCCTGAAGACATTCCTGTCATTGTAACATGATTTGGCTATTTCAACTGTATATTTTGTCATATTTCGTCATTGTTTATGTTGTTAAAAATGAAGGTTTGTGTATATATTTATCAATGATGAACTGATATTGCAACAATGTTTTTTTGTGGGGCAACTGTCATTGATCAAAACAGACTTTTGTCAGTTTTTGAATATGAATGCACTGCTCATGTATGTACTGTCTTCACTTTACTAAAGGCATGATATTCTTTTGTGATAAACTAGGCTGAAAGGCCATTTTACACTGGTCATGAATCTCAGGGTGTGAAATTGTGAATTAAGGTGGAAAAGTGAATCACAATTTTCGTTACAAGTTTGTTGAACTATCACCCTGAAATGAGAAACATACCTTGTTTCTGGTATGTTGTTTCATTTCATATCTTGCTGGACAATAGTCATAATACAGGATTGATGTAACTAAAAACAAACATTTCAAAATTGACAAAGTAGGAACGTTTATCATAGTTGTTAAATGTTCATGAAAGCATGAAAATATTTTCAAACTCTTAAACACTTCATGTTACGTTTGGTTAGTTATTATAGTTCACACTTGTCATCAGTATCTTTATGTTCTATGTAATTCCTACATACTCAGTTTGGTTATGTCAATTGCACTATGCACCATCTTTGTCTGAATGTTTGAAACTTTGTCGACTCTGTTTGCTTTGACTTTAAAGCATTTTACTACGACAGGTAGACACAAAAACAGGAAAATTTTTTCCAGTTCTAAAAATCATGAAAAAGCCACGACTTCTTACAGTTTTCATCCAGTAGATCTAAATAAGAAGTTAAAATGAAAATAATAAAATTAAAATTATGGCGTGTTGATGAGATTTAAAAATTTAGATAAAATGTAAAGTTATTTAGCTTTTTGTATTTACCGCGCGTTTAGTGCATCGCAAGTGGTCGAAAGTGATTTTAGGAATTGCGACATGTCAATTCATATCCTCGTGATTAGAGTATAAGAATTAAGTACTGGGTGATTCTGCCGTCACTTGAGCGACATTTACACTGTGATTCTATAGTTATTCCCGACTTAAAGCTTGGACAAAAATGAATGCATTACAAATTAATACATTGTGGTAAAATGTTTGGCTTTTAATATTCATGTACATTTTATATGTTGGTGATATTAGCCAAATCATATCTGAATGTAAATTTAAGAACTTCAAAATAGAAATAATTTCTTTTGCAGACAATTTTCAAGGAAAAAGCCTTAAAATGGTGAACATAAATATCAAAAAACAGACTTATGAAATATCTCGGGTAGGATGTATTCACTGTTAAATTCTGTGAAATTAAAGGTATTTTGATGAGCCTTGAGACAGACACTGATAATGAAGATATCAGTCACTATAGAAGATTTTATTATTGTCGTTGACTCCATCAATGCAGCAATCTTTAGTCTATAAAACCCCTGTTGGGAATTGTAAAGGTTGAAGAATTTCATTTTAGGCCATGTAGGGTGTTAAAACTTTGTTTTCTTTAAATAAAATTTGAAGGATATATGCGATTATGATAGAACAGATCCACAACACAAACTTAAAGATGCTCAAAGTTACTTTACAACTGTAGTACTTAACCATCACTTAGTTTATATTTCTGTTGATAACGTAAATGTTTTACATTATTTATCAGCTTAAACTTTATCGTTTCGTGTAGATGATGTAGCTAATTGTATTTTCCCGATGACGTGTAATTAACGAGGACCATGTTGTGAAATGTAAGTCTAACCTAGAGTTTCATGAAAACAAAAAAACAGGAAAGCAACGATGGCAACATTGATGATAAATATGGAGGATATGTGAATTTAAGGACCAATGTTCCATGACTTAAAGAAAGAGTTTACAGCAAATAAACACACTGGTGAGAAGGTGTACTATGTTGGTCAACATGGTTATGATGTGTTTAATGTTCAAAACCAACAACTGTTCTTACTGTGAGAACTTTTGATCTACTAAGAAAGTGAAACTATTACAGGTCAGTACTTGTACATCAAACTTTAAACATTAAACAAGACTTTGTTGAATGCTTGTTTTTATGTGAAAATCTTCCACCGTTTGGCGTACATGTTGTTTTTTCCTTAACGAATGAAATATGCAATGATTTCATCGTCTATTAACGATAACTATTATCGTAAATAATCTAGTTTCGTAGTTTCGTACTGCGTATGTATGAAATGACTTTTCATTTTTCTTGCCGGTGTCCGAAGCCTGATGTGTGAGTCTGCAAATCTAAACTTTTAATTCAAATATCGAAAACTTTTACTAAAAATTTATCAAAAATTGCTTCGTTTCGAATCGGCAAATTTCGTGTTTCTATTCACTTTTCTAGAACATGGATTAATGTACAAGATTGCAAAGAATATGGCTACTTTCACATTTTGAAGGCTGGAAAAAGGATATCTTTTCTAAGTCAATATTTACTTGTTGAACTGAGTCTCGAGAATGACTGCATGGAATAATAAAAGGAGAATTTAAGATCTGTTTACGCTTGCCATTGCTATTGGTTTATCTGTTTTTCAAACTTTAATGGTCGTTTATTAGAGAGAATTATTTCAAGATATTTTTTCGAGAGGTAAGTTGTTAACACAATTTTGTTTAAGATTCTGTAGAAAATAATGAAAACTGCAGTCTATATTACACTGGCTGAAAATGGTGGTCACATCCCAGATGTTTGGCAATTGCTACCAACTCTATAATCACAGTTATCGTAACTGCGTAAAAGCACTATTGATAAAGCGCATTTACTAAAAACGGCAAGTCTTTTCAAATATGTTTATTTGTTAATTATGTTTACATGTTTCAACATCTCATGATGCCATCTTCAGTATATACTCTTTCTTATATACTTAAGATGGCATCATGAGATGTTGAAACATGTTTATTTTAAAAAAACTTGTCGTATTAATTACCGTTATCACTTCGCTTGATTTCCTTTTTCTACAAACATTTTCAATGTTTCAATTCAAGCATTCATGGAAAAGAGGCTGCTTAAGGAGGCATATACAGTAAAACTGACAAAAGTTATGAGAGAAAATACTTTGGATGAAATTGACATTGATGCAAACAAGGGCTAAGTTTAATATAAGGTAAAAACAGACAAAGTTCATAATTTAGGCTTAGAAGATCAGGGGTCTGTTGAAGAGAGTAATGTTGACAATAGAAACAGTTTAGAAATGTCTCACGAAACCCTTCAAAATGCTGGTGTATCAGCGAATCAAACTCGTGAAGCTAAAGAGAGTCGTGTGGACGACGTGATTCGTTGAACTCAGCTCACAATCAGATGCGTCAGAAGTAGATTATAAATCATCGCCTTCAAGACCAAATTTATCAAAATTTTCAAACAATTTATTCCGACAAAAAGTGGGAAGAGAAATCACATGACCCAGAAATCATGTGCCTTGTCAGTGGCAGTGAGTTTCTGAATTCTTACCCATTCCTCCACGGCCAAGCGACAGCCAATCAGATATCTCTACAGATGGATATTCCCGTGGTAGTTATAAATCATTTAAAAACAAACTTGAAAGAAACGTTAAAGAAAACAGGGAGGTTGTTGTTGAAGAGAGAAGTCAATCAGATCAAGAAAAGCATAATGAAGAAACTTTAGAGGTATTTATATGTAAAATAAATAAATGTATTTGATATTTTTTGCTTATCCTTGCACTGCTATCGGTCTACTCTATTTACTTAACTTAAGTTTCAAGAATCTTTCACATCATTGCTTTATGTTGTCTACAGTCAAACAACATTTTCTATTTTTCTATAAACAGCGTTTAGGAAATGGTGAGACGCGTAAGAGGAATGGAAACGAAAGTAGAAAAAACGTCGGTTCATTTAATAAAGAGACGAGCAGCTCATCGTGGACTCATAACGACAGCGGTTTTAGAAAGAAACATCATGTGCCAATAAATGGTGTTCAAGTCCTACCACCGGAACAAGTTTTTATTCAGTTTGAAAGTAGCGATGAGGAGAAAGAAAATTGAAGTTGAATGTTTTATTAACAAGCTATTTTAGACTTATAAATAGTTCACTTTATATGGTGAATTTACTATCTATGTAATAACTTTCTATTTATTTTTCATACATTTGAAGGACATTTAAATTCTCCCCCCTCCCCCCCAAGGATAACATAAAGCATTTTTTCAAAAAAATTTACTTCCTACTGTTATTTTGAAATTTTTACATTGTTAAAATAATCTTTTTTTATGACGACATTGCAAACAAGGCGTTGTTATTGATGCTTCTTACCTGACGGCAAACGTTATAGAAATACACTTGTTGAAATACCTATTGGAGACTGTGATCGGAGATCAGTGGTTTATCTGTAAGTTTACCAGACTTTGTTATATTGTATTCTTTACATGATTAAAGACTGATATTCTTTAAAAATACTTGAGTTTGTGATTTCTTTTAGGGTGTATATATTAACAACGTTAAGAAAATTATATTGCGTCAGACGTTAATTTTCATTGCCGAAAGTTTGTGTATGTAACTTATTTATATCTTCCTGTACAAATACTCCGATTTAGTATAGAAGGTATTTATTTAGGCTTCTAAATAAATATTTCTTTTATACGTTATTTTTGTATTGAATGGCTCTTTTAAAAGCACTTTGCTGGACTTTAATATTAATATTAAGGACTTTGCTATCAACTTTAAAATATACTCCTCTGGAGGTATATTTCAACTCGTGCATTCTTGTACTTATGCTTCCTTCCCTAAATATCAAACGTTCAAGGTGAATAAGTGCCATCGTAATTTTTGCTTATTTGTCCAAAAATGTTGAACTAATCATCGCTGTTGTTGACGTTTTGGGCTATGATCCAATCAGAACGCATTATCAGGCTAAAATATAAACTAAACAAGCACTTTGTTTAACGAATTTGCTGCAATTCATTATTGATTTTTTTCTGACAATATTACCGTTGCTTATAATAAAGTGAGTACTTCTCTTCAATTTTGCCGCGTGAAGTGTTTCTAATTGATCCGAGATCGCAACACATATTTAAGTTCAAAGTACGATATCGTTTGGCGTGTTAATTATTACTTGCTGTCGAATGTAGAACGTTTATTGCATTGTCACTGAAAGAGCTTGGCGCATTTTATAAATATGTATCTATTTTGTCGGATATCGACTAATTTGAACAACTATATATAAAATTTTTGAGTCGTTTGCCAAGAATTGTTGAAATAAAGAAGCGCTTTGTATGGACGTCGGAACTGATTTTCGAGTTTTTTCAATTTATGCATATTTTCGTAGATCGTCATTCTGTGATCTATTGACAAGGCTTTAAACGAATATAAAAGCTAATACTTGCACAAATAAATCGACAGTTCCAAAAATGGTCATACTGATTCATAGAATGCAACAAGTTCCGATCAGTTACAATGTAATAAACGTTATATATGTTTAACAGTAACTAATATGTAAATTTTTTATAGAATATTAACATTTTTGTTTGTTAAATTGAGCATATAAACAAGTCTCATTTGCAGTTTTATGTTTATAGCTACGTCTGGAAGACATTTGCGATTCGAGATTTAGTTAAAAATTCCTGTTTTAAATGGCGTTGACATCAGCTGAGATGAAACAATACCGTGAAACTATGTTGAAAGAATTGGAATTGGAAAAATATAAAGAAGAAAAATTTATGAAGGTTTTTAAAGAGGCAGCTGATTTAATGTTGAAACATTATGCAAAGAATGTTTCTGATTTTATACCGAAATCAAAAAAATATCTTTTATTTTCTGAAACATTTAAAAAATATAATAAAATATTGTTGAATGAAACTGATGAATATAGATCATCGAAGAAAAAAGAAAATGCGTTAAAACGTGATGTGCAAAATTGTTATGAAGAGCATGTGTTGGAAGAAGATAGTAGAGAAGACTTTAAAAGAAGACGTTTGGAAGAAGAAAGAAATACAGCGATTAATGTTTCACCAGATGTTCATGAAGCTGATGCGCCTGTCGAAACTGTAAGTATTGTAGTAAGTACTTCGGATATTGAGACTAAAAATTTTTTGGAAAAATGTTATGAGAACAGGGAAAAAATTGAAGAATACTTTAAGAATGTTGAATTTTATGATAAATGTTTAAATAAGAAAGAAATGATAAATTGTATGTTTGAGGAAAAGGGCTTATAACAAATTTGTCATCGTAGAATATAATAAAGCTGTATTAGTGTTGTATCATAGCACTCAATAAACAGAAGCGACACTCCTTTGAAGTTTTTAGTCACGCCGACAATCACCGGAAGTGAGCACCGCCATGTTCTTTGGTAGTAAAGTGGGATACTTATAAACAATATGACAAAAAGTGGATAGTCATGTTTAAAAATGCTTTAATGGAGTGTAATTAGATTTTTAAGTAAAAAGAGTCAACAAAGTAAGAGTATGTTCTTCTCTTTAATTGTCGGCGTGATCAAAAACTTCAAAGGAGTGTCGTTTCTGGTTAGTTCTATATTCTGTGATAAAGCTGTATAAACATTTGTATCACGGATCACCGTAGCATCTAATATTACTAATAAACCTGTATAAAACATATTCAGTACCATCGTAGCATATATAATATATAGCTGTATGATCATTTGTGTCATCATAGAATTTAATTGTAGCTATTGTGAGTATTATTTCTTTAATGAATACTTGTTCTTAAATACTTGTATTTAATGAATCGTATTAAATAAAATAATTTTGATTTGTGCATGTTTTACAATTTTTATTTTAATCAACATCCACCGGATCTATTTTCACGTTTGAATATGTAATCGGTAGATTTCGATAACGTTGACAATAATTTTCATTTTTCGACGTTTTACTGATCAATTTGAGCTATAAGTTGCAATGTGTCGAAATTTGCACTCAAACATGGTATTTTTGATTGTTTTGTTTCAAAATTGATTATGAGTGCGTGACGTTGTTTAGAAGACGAAAGTTCAATTTAAAGCTTTAAGCATATAAACATATTACATATATAGATACCATAACTTACCTAACTTGCGGTCTTTGCAAAAAGTCTCACCTAATTTGCAGAAATTGTGTATGATAACGGGGAGGATTAGAAATACGCACCGGTAACTAACATTTAAAATGCAACTAACTTTCACAAGCTTCTTGAACAAACTAATTAATTTCGATGAAATGGGTGCGCATATTTGACTCACTCTGTCGTTTTTAAGAAACTCGCAATTCAGGGGCGGAGTGACGTTGTCCAAAACTTACTTCCTGGTTATCAAATTCTTCATGATACCGCTCGAATTCCATGGTTGGCACTTCGTAGGGGAAAATTACTATTGCTAATAAATTTTTTTATTAAATTCGCCTGTGTTTTCTTGGTTTTTCTTCCGTGTCGAGAATTGGTAATTCCAGAGTAGCTCACTCGTCACGCATAACAAATATAGCTTTAACTATTCGGTATTTTTGCCATTATAAAGTATGAGTTATCGAAATTTTGGGAACAATTCACCAAAGTTTTTTAAAGTTTACAACTATATGATTATTAACTGCAATAATTCCGCGAGATAAATTCTAATATAATTATGAATTAGTTTGCTTCAAGCATGCTGAAACAATTTACATAAAGTGTTCACGAACCAGCAATCCCTCTGAATTGAAGATTCGTGAACCATATACTGCAGTTGAAAGAATGTATAAGAACTTTAGGTGTCCAGTTTCTGCATCAAAGCACCTCATGATTAAAATAATAGCGAGAGACTTGCCGAGCGGAAATCGAATACGTGTAATAAAAATTAATACCCAACATAAAGTTCTGATTAGTGCCATAGAAATAGACCAAAAAACAAAAGTAAAAGTAAAGACGAAACGTTACAATAAATTTAATTTTACAATTTGTTTTTTGTCTATTTCTATGGCTCTAATCAGAACTTTATGTTGGGTATTAATTTTTATTACACGAACTCCATGATTAACTTAGAAACATTCAGGTCGTAGCCAGAGATGGATTTATCTTCGGGATTATATGTTAGTTTTTTGTATGGTTCATTAATTTCTTCCTTTTCCAGTGCTGCATGGTGCTTGGATTTCCATTATTTTAGAACGTTTTCATTTATCAACGTAAGTGGTTATTCTATGCTTCACAGGTTTCTTACGACATATGTAAGTAACAAGTATCGTGCTTCCGTCAAGGAAAATAAAAAAACAAGAAACTTGGCATTACGATTCTCGTCTTTGATTTGGAATAATTTTTCTAATTTAACTTTGCTATCACAAAATGCCACTGTGAGACCGTTGCTTCCAAAAACCTCGTAAAAGGCAATGACTATAATATCCTTTGGCAATTTGGCCATGAATAATTTTGCAGTATCGGGCAAGTTTCCAAGAACATCCAAAGTAAAGTGATGATCAATTTTATACTCTTCTGAGTTGTTGACTCTATCTCTTTCCATCTTGTAAACTGTTAACAAATACTTGAGATTTTTTCGCAAAATAACGTGCACTAGTTCATTCTTGCTCATTGTTACACGTTGCACTTCGGACGAATTTACTTGAACGAGTGTTTTCGAACCTTTTTCGTTTGTGGAAATGCTTCGTGAATAGGCTGCACCTGTTCGTGAGGTAATGGTTCGAAGACCGAAATTTTCAACGGCATCTTGTTCCCATTCTGAGTTTAAACAGGTGCGTTTCTTGATCTTCAAAATATTGAATGAACCAGAATCGTAGAATCTTCATTAACGTCCGCGGTATCGCATGGTGGAGTTACATAGCCAATTTCATCCATATATCTCTATGGTGGATTGGATGAATTATTTGCTCATCACAGCTGACCACTGGCCAATGAAAAACAGCCATTTTATAATTTGTGTATTTTGAAATGAAATTAGCCAAGACTATGTTAATTGTGAGTACAGTTTTGACAACACTGCATGTCTCGCCAATTTGAGTAAAACTTTGATTTTAATGAATTCTTCATTACAATGGAGAATGATTTCTTAACTTCTGGCAAGGAGTTTAGCTCAGCAAGAGGTTGCATGAAGTCACATCTCGCTTGTTCGATGTCATCTAAACCATGTAAAATGGCGCTGGCAATGTGGACCTTTCTTGCTATTGTTTTTTCTTGTGGTGTTAGAACAGTGGTATGGAAAGCTCTTCGGGCTTCATTTCCTGCTTGCTCAAAGGATTTTTTGCAAGATTTATCCGTTGCAATGATTGTGTATCTGTAGTACTTTCTGCGAACATCTCGGTAAATCTTGATGCGCCATCTACAGATTTTCCTTGTAAATCTTCCCCTCCTAAGTCAACAAAGCTTTGTTGTTGTGACAAGAATCCATTTGAAGATGGCTCTTCAAAATTGAGACATCGTCTTCGAACACCCTGCTTACAGCAACTTACACTGCCAAGGAGATCATTTCTTGCTATGCTTTCAAGTGTTTTTAATTTGCTGTCAAGCGAACCAAGATACGGTAGGACTTTTTATATATAAGTTAACATGCTAAGAACGCCTGCTGCTACCTTTACTGCATTTGCGCAATTTTTTGCGAAATTTCCTTCTGTAGCTAAGAGCTTGTTTTAGAAATGTCCTTACCTTCAACATGATTTTCGTCGCTACATATCATGAAAAGCGTGTATTCAAAAATTATAATTATTAGTGATCGAGCTGTATCTTACAACTAAATACAGCTATAGAAATATATTTGCATCTGTGGCTAATATAAAGGTACAGAAGAAAAAATAGTCAAGTTTTACAGACACCAGTTTCTGAGTAAATTAATTGAGTACTTTCATTACTTCATATTCATTTCATTGCTTGGTTTAATAGTTTATGAGTCTAAAGTAGACTGGGGACTAGTAACATGAATGTTGATTTTTTAAAATGGAAACATCGTTGTTAGTAGAAATATAATAAATGATTACGAAATGAACTTAAATGAAAATAGATTTATAACCATTTTTTTAATTTAAATATACGAGAAATATCATGGACCAGGACTGGCTCCTTTCCTGGTTTTGTATGAAGGTAAGCTTGAACAAAGGGAAGGTATAAGGAAGTTATCATGTGACATGATTAATGCACAGATAAAATGAAAAATGTCATGAGAATTGTGTGATATTCGCTGGTATTTGTAATTTTAAAAGTTTTGACGTCAGAAAGGTGTTACCAAGTGTCATTTGAATGCAATAGTTTCAGTCTCCTCAATCATTTATTTATCACAACATTATCCACTAAAAATGGTGACTGTATGTCATATGATGTTTTTCATGTATATTTCAGGATATATTTCTGGAAAAGAATTGGAGAAGTGTTTTAGGTTGCTCTGTTTGTGATTATATCTTTAAAGCTCAAGGAAAGGTGAATGGTTTATATGTAAATTGTTGGTGATTGACATCATACACTTGTGATGTATTGAAGACTATTTATATAGTTGATCAGTTTTAAGCATCTTACATGTGCCAATATATATTTGTCAAACAATAACTGCACTTTACTTTCTTAAATCAAGTATTTGCTAATTTCTGGTCAGTTTTCCTGAAGACATTCCTGTCATTGCAACATGATTTGGTTATTTCAACTGTATATTTTGTCATATTTCGTCATTGTTTATGTTGTTAAAAATGAAGGTTTGTGTTTAAATTTATTCATGATGAACTGATATTGCAACAATGTTTTTTTGTGGGGCAAATGTCATTGATCAAAACAGACTTTTGTCAGTTTTTGAATATGAATGCACTGCTCATGTATGTACTGTCTTCACTTTACTAAAGGCATGATATTCTTTTGTGATAAACTAGGCTGAAAGGCCATTTTACACTGGTCACGAATCTCAGGGTGTGAAATTGTGAATTAAGGTGGAAAAGTGAATCACAATTTTTGTTACAAGTTTGTTGAACTATCACCCTGAAAATGAGAAACATACCCTGTTTCTTGTTTGTGGTATGTTGTTTCATTTCATATCTTGCTGGACACTAGTCATAATACAGGATTGATGTAATTAAAAACAAACATTTCAAAATTGACAAAGTAGAACGTTTATCATAGTTCTTAAATATTCATGAAAGCATGAAAATATTTTCAAACTCATAAACACTTCATGTTACGTTTGTTTAGTTATTATAGTTCACACTTGTCATCAGTATCAGTATGTTCTACGTAATTTTGACATACTCAGTTTGGTTATGTCAATTGCACTATGCAGAAAGTCATGGAATGGTACCGAGAATGGAAAACGGCAATAGAAGTAAAGGGACTGAAAGTGAATGAGGCAAAGACGAAGGGCATGAGATGCTCGAGGCAGGTGGAGGTGAAGGACAGTGATAAATGGCCATGTGGTGTGTGTGGGAAAAGAGTTGGAGTGAATTCGATAATGTGTGGGAAATGCAGTAAGTGGGTTCATGGAAGATGTTCAGGTGTCCGTGGTGCATTGACAAGAGTAACTGATTTTGAGTGCGGGACGTGTCGAAGTGGTGGGCGAGTCGCGATTGAACGGTTTGAACTGGGTGACGTGAGTTTGGAAGGTGTATCGGAGTTTAAATATCTGGGCGATGTGTTAAATGATGGTGGAGGGTGCGAGCAAGCGGTGAGGAACAGAGTTCAAGCAGCGTGGTGGAGTTTTAGAGAGTTGTCGGGAATGTTGTGCGGAAAGTCGACTTCGTTGAAGCAGAAGGAGAATTGTACAAGGCATGTGTTAGAAGTGTTTTGGGATATGGAGCAGAGTGTTGGGCGCCGAAAGCAGAGGACCTGAGAAGATTGGCGTCGACGGAAAGGAGATGCTTAGGATGATGTGTGGTGTAACGTTGATGGATAGGATTCGAAGTGAAGACATTAGAGAAAGAGTTGGTGTTGAGTGTATCGAGAATTGGGTAAGGCGCCAGCGTTTGAGGTGGTTTGGGCATGTGGAAAGGAGGGAAGAAAGTGCTGAAATTCGTAGAACGTTGCATATGAATGTTGATGGAGTCCGCAAACGAGGTAGACCGAGAAAGAGATGGATGGATGCTGTGAACAAAGATATGAAGGCAATGGGTATAACGAGAGATAGAGACGTTTGGCGTGGAAAAATTCATGGTCAACCAGTCAACCATTCACCAGTCAACCCCCCCTGGCGGGGATTAATACTGGCCGGTATACAAATGTTGTTTGTTTGTTTGTTGACTATGCACCATCTTTGTCTGAATGTTTGAAACTTTGTCGACTCTGTTTGCTTTGACTTTAAAGCATTTTACTGCGACAGGGAGACACAAGAACAGGCAAATTTTTTCCAGTTCTAAAAATCAAGAAAAAAGGCACGACTTCTTACAGTTTTCATCCAGTAGATCTAAATAAGAAGTTAAGATGAAAATAATAAAATTAAAATTATAGCGTATTGATGAGATTTAAAAACTTAGGTAAAATGTAAACTTATTTAGCTTTTTGTATTTACCGCGCGTTTAGTGCTTCACAAGTGGTCGAAAGTGATTTTAGGAACTGCGACATGTCAATACATATCGTCATGATTAGAGTATAAAAATTAAGTACTGGGTGATTCTGCCGTCACTTGTGCGACATTTACACTGTGATTCTATAGTTATTTCCGAATTAAAGCTTAGACAAAAATGAATGCATTACAAATTAATACATTGTGGTAAATGTTTGGCTTTTAATATTCATGTACATTTTATATGTTGGTGATATTAGCCAAATCATATCTGAATGTAAATTTAAGAACCTCAAAATAGAAATAATTTCTTTTGCAGACAATTTTCAAGGAAAAAGCCTTAACATGGTGAACATAAATATCAAAAAACAGACTTATGAAATATCTCGGGTAGGATGCATTTGTTGTTAAATTCTGTGAAATTAAAGGTGATTTGATGTGCATTGAGACAGACACTGATAATGAAGATATCAGTCACTATAGAAGATTTTATTATTGTCGTTGGCTCCATCAATGCAGCAATCTTTACTCAATAAAACCCATGTTGCGAATCGTAAAGGTGGAAAAATTTCATTTTAGGCCATATAGGCTGTTGAAAGTTCGTTTTCTTTAAATAAAATTTGATGAATATTTGCGATTATGATAGAAAAAATCTACAACACAAACTTTAAGATGCTCGAAGTTACTTTACAACTGTAGTACTTAACCATCACTTAGTTTATATTTATGTTGATAACGTAAATGTTTTACATTATTTCTCAGCTTAAAATTTATCGTTTCGTGTAGGTGACGTAGCTAATTCTATTTTCCCGATGACGTTTTTAACGAGGACCATGTTGTGAAATGGAAGTCTAACCTAGAGTTTCATGAAAACAAAAAAAACAGGAAAGCAATGATGGCAACGTTGATGATAATTATGGAGGATATGTGAATTTAAGGACCAATGTTCCATGACTTAAAGAAAGAGTTTACAGCCAATAAACACACTGGTGAGAAGGTGTACTATGTTGGTCAACATGGTTATGATGTGTTAAATGTTCAAAACCAACAACTGTTCTTACTGTGAAAACTTTTGATCTACTAAGAAAGTCAAACTTTTACAGGTCAGTACTTGTACATCAAACTTTAAACATTAAACAAGACTTTTTTAAATTCTTATTTTTATGTGAAAATATTCCACCGTTCGGCGTAAACTTTTTTTTTCCTTAACGAATGAAATATGCAATGATTTCATTGTCTATTAACGATTACTATCGTTAATAATCTAGTCTCGTAGTTTCGTACTGCGTATGTATGAAATGACTTTCCATTTTTCTTGCCGGTGTCCGAAGCCTAATCTGTGAGTCTGCAAATCTAAACCTTTAATTCAAATATGGAAAACTTTTACAAAAATGTATCAAAAAATGTTTCGTTTCGAATCCGCAAATTTCGTGTTTCTATCCACTTTTCTAGAACATGGATGAATGTACAATATTGCAAAGAATATGGTTACTTTCACATTTTGAAGACTGGAAAAAGGATGTCTTTTCTATGTCAATATTTACTTGTTGAACTGAGTCTCCAGAATGACTCACGGAATAATAAAAGAAGAATTTAAGATCTGTTTCCGCTTGCCATTGCTATTGGTTTATCTGTTTTTCAAACTTTAATGGTGGTTTATTAGAGCGAATTATTTTTTCGAGAGGTAAGTTGTTAACACAATTTTGTTTAAGATTCTGTAGAAAATAATGAAAACTGCAGTCTATATTACACCGACTGAAAATGGTGGTCACATCCCAAATATTTGGCAATTGCTACCAACTCTATAATTACCGTTATCGTAACTGCGTAAAAGCACTATTGATAAAGCACATTTAATAAAAACGACAATTTTTTTTTTAAATAAACATGTTTCAACATCTCATGATGCCATCTTCAGTATATACTCTTTCTCATATACTGAAGATGGCATCATGAGATGTTGAAACATGTTTATTTTAAAAAAACTTGTCGTATTAATTACCGTTATCACTTCGCTTGATTTCCTTTTTCTACAAACATTTTCAATGTTTCAATTCAAGCTTTGTCTTCTTAAATTCGATGCAAAGGATGGAAAAGAGTCTGCTTAAGGAGGCATGTACAGTAAAACTTTTACTAAAATTATGAGAGAAAATACTTTGGACGAAATTGTTAGTGGTGCAAACAAGGTGAAGTTGAATATAACGTAAAAACAGACAAAGTTCTTATTTTAGGCTTAGAAGATCTTGGGTCTGTTGAAGAGAGTAATGTTGGCAATAGAAACAGGTTACAAATGTCTCGTGAAACCCTTCAAAATGCTGGTGTATCAGCGAATGAAACTCGTGAATCTAAAGAGTCGTTTAGATGACGTGATCCGTGTTTCCCACGAGAGTCGTTGAAATAACGAGAGACGAGTTGCTCTTGTTGTTGAAAAATGGAAGTCTTCGGAGTTTTATGAAAACAGAAAAAGAAAGTTGTTATTTCAATGTTAACGATAAACATGGAGAATGTGTGAAGTTAAAGGCCGATGCCCCACTAAGTACAGAGAGGTTACAGCCAATCAACGTGTCTTCCAAGAAGACAACCACAATGACGTCACGTAGTATGGCGTCACATGACAACCGTTTAAGAAACATGATTCCAGTGATTCAGTGAGAAATTATACCAACATGGGCTACAGTCAATATGGCGATGATATGTCTAATGTTCATCAATAACCTATTGTTGTTGTGAGAATATTTGATCATCCAGGAAAGTCGTACTCTTACAGGTCAGTTGTACTACTACAGAGCACTTATACTATTACAGCTTGGTTGCAGTACAAGTTACTGACTTGAATTCAACTGCACACGTAATCCTACTCTGTTATTTATTCACCTCCAATGGCTTACTATGCTTAATTTTATCAAACACACACGTTGTCTTTCAGGGATGTATTGCTATCGCTAATTGAGGGGGGGGGGCTCTTATTCATATATGCATGTTATAAATCCGTAGATAACAATACATTTCAAAATATATTATTTCAGCATATCATGAATATATGAATAAGAGCCCTTCTAATTAGCGATAGCAATACATCCCTGTTGTCTTTTCCTTTGGTTTTTAAAGTTTCTAAAATTACCATTGCTCTTTGTAGACAAAGGAGATCATTGCCAAGAAATCACTCAAGACTGAACTACAAAAAATCTTTTAAATCTTCGACGACTCGCAGACGAAAACCTTTACCATCTGCCTGGACAATAAACCTTCGAAATTCGCCGTCAAGACATGAAAATTATGAAGATGTTCACTCTTATTACTTACCACCTAGAAGAAAAGCCAAATATCAAGTCTCAACTCGTACACGAGATTACATGAATCACGAAATGAAAGTTTGTGAAGATAAAAGTCGTGGCTCTGGTAATAATAAAAGATACATAGTTGAAAACCGTCCAAAACTATCCCATGCTAAAAATGCTAAAACCTCGACTTATTACAAAACTTCTGGTCGATCACAACTCTGCTCACATTCAGATGCGTCAGAAGTAGATTATAATCATCGCCTGTCCTTCAAGACCAAATTAAGGATCAAAATTTTCAGGCAATTTATTCCGACAAAAAGTGGGAAGGGAAATCACATGAGCCAAAAATCATGTCCATTGTCAGTGGCAGTGAGTTTTCTGAATTCTTACCCACTCCTCCACGGCCAAGCGACAGCTAATCAGATATTTCTACGGATGGATATTCCCGTGGTAGTTATAAATCATTTAAAAACAAACTTGAAAGAAACGTTAAAGAAAACAGGGAGGTTGTTGTTGAAGACAGAAGTCAATCAGATCAAGAAAAACATAATGAATCATTTGAAGAAACTTTAGAGGTATTTCTATCTAATATAAAGTAAATGTATTTGATGTTTTATTTGTTTGTCCTTGCACTGCTATAGGTCTATTCTATTTACTTAACTTAAGTTTCAAAAATCTTTCACATCTTTGCTTTAGATTGTCTTCTTTCGTACAACATTTTCTATTTTCTATAAACAGCGTTTACGAAATGGTGAGACGTGTGAGAGGAATGGAAACGAAAGTAGAAAAAACGTCGGTTCATTTAATAAAGAGACGAGCAGCTCATCGTGGACTCATAATGACAGCGGTTTTAGAAAGAAGCATTATGTGCCAATAAATGGTGTTAAAGTCCTACCACCAGAACCAGTTTTTATTCAGTTTAAAAGTAGCGATGAGGAGAAAAAAAATTAAAGTTGAATGATTTATTAACCAGCTATTTTAGACTTATAAATGATTCACTTTATATGGGGAATTTACTATCTATGTAATAACTTTCTATTTATTTTTCATACATTTGAAGGACATTTAAATCCACAAATTATTCATTCTCCCCCCTCCCCCCATGGATAACATAAAGCATTTTTTCAAAAAAATGTACTTCCTACTGTTATTTTGAAATTTCTACATTGTTAAAATAATCTTTTTTATGACGACATTGCAAACAAGGCCTTATTATTGATGTTTCTTACCTGACGGAAAATGTTATAGAAATACACTTGTTGAAATACCTATTGGAAACTGTGATTGGAGATCAGTGGTTTATCTGTAAGTGTACCAGACTTTGTTATATTGTATTCTTACATAATTAAAGACTGACATTCTTTAAAAATACTTAAGTTTGTGATTTCTTTTAGGGTGTATATATTAACAACGTTAGGAAAATTATATTGCGTCAGACCTTAATATATCAAACATTATTCTGTATATCAAACATTATCTGGATTTTCCAGCATTTGAATTAAATTAGTCCCTTCAAGTGAGCATTCCATTACCTATATTCGGGGGGGAAGCGCATATTTTCAGTCTTCTCTATGTTTTAAAGAGTAGCTATAGTCTTCTGATTTTCAGGCGCCAGAAACTCGCCTTTCACACCTTTGCATGAAAACAAAGGAGTTCGGTTTAGCAAGGAAGACTTTTTGGAACATTTCATGGAGATACAATTGCTTAATTTTGCATCTCATTCCAGTCGTTTCTAACCCTTTAGGAATATATAATTTGGTCGTGCCGGCCTGAGTGAGCACGACTAAAAACAGGCGAAAGACGTTGCTTGTGCTTTTAGGGCATTGATTAAGGCAGGCATCGGGCTAAAACACAAGTATAGTGTGTGCAACATGACGTATTGCAAAATGCAAAGGACGCATTAAAAAAAATTTTGTTTTTGCTTACATTCGTTAAGATTGTAAGCAAATATTGAAATTTCAGTGCAACAAAAAAACCTTAGTTTAAAAAATGATTGGTCGGGCAAAGCACGACCTCTAGCTACGCCACTGATAGCCAAGTATTCACGCAACAAAATTGAAAAGAAGGTGCACGAGTGGGGGCAACAGAAATCGTTTTCTAAGCCATTTTTTAATGCATAGAATACGGACTAGTACTTCCTACTGTTATGTTGAAGTTTCTACATTGTTAAAATAATCTTTTTATGACGACATTGCAAACAAGGCGTTATTTTTATTTTGCTACCCTGACGGAAGAGACCTTCGTATAGTTATGTGTCACGTGAATTTATTTGTTCAAATGAAGTGGATTTGATGTTTATTTTATTTGCCACTGCTTGGTCTATTGCATTCAATCAGCATATCCAAATTAATAATTTTTCTCGTAATACTTTTTTATTTTCTACAGATATGAAACGTTTCATAATTTGTTAATAAACAAGCGTTTACAAAGCGATTGCAAGAACGAGCAAGAAAGCATAGAGAAAATGAATGATCATTTATCTTCTATAAGAGCTCACCATTGACTCATATTGGCAGCGGTTTTCGTATAATAGATCATATGGCTAAAATATGGTGAAAAATGCGATAAAGAGAAAGTAAATTCCAGTTTAATGGTTTAGAAAATGAAATATTTAGCTTTTCTATTTCGCTGTTTGAACGAAATTTATGGTGATGTATGTGATGAATAACCGACTGTTTTTTTGTGTTTCCTCTAATGTATTTGCTTATGTCTCACACCAAAGTCATTTTCGAAAGCATTCGCGTGTAAAATTTAATCTACGTCCTTTCAAAACTCCTCCAATCACCGCCACCAAGGGTCGCCAGGTCACTATATCTTGCTGTGATCTTCTCAAATTTAGAAAATTTATGTAGATATGAGAACTTGCAAAACAAGTCATTCTTGTTGTTTTGATGCTTGTAGTCAGACGGTAGTAAAAACGGTGAAGAAGTCAATAGTGTTGAATTACCTGAAGACCGAAGATTTTTTTGTAAGTTTTTCAGACTTAGTTGCATTGTACTCTCATCAATAGTCAATATTAAAAACCGAAATGCTTTAAAACGTAAGGTTGAAGTTTTTGGATTTTTTCATTCATTAGAAAATTCATTGTGTCAGAAGTTAAATTTGATCACATAAAACCTGTCTTTCTTCCTTATTTATATGTCTATTTTCCGAGTACAAATCTTCAGATTATATTTTTAACAGGATAGTTCTTTGCAACTCACCGGAATCAAAGTGAAGATTATTTAGGCAATAACAATTCAAACTAAAACCATTTCATAATAATTGGTGTATTTCTTGTACAGCTTTTATTCTCTAGTCAAATGCAGAATTTCGATTTCCATAAAACAAGGCAATAACATAGGTTTTTACTTTAATAACGTGTATTCATGACAGAAGTGGTATGATATACGTGGCAGGAAGAGCACACGCAAGCAAATTTTCTTATGAAAAAGAATATGCTTGGAAATGACTTCAATACTTAGAGTTATAGGTTGATAAGCTTATATCATAAAGGTGAAGCACCTTATTGATGAGAATTAGAAGAATCAACCTTTTGAGATAGTTTATCATTAACCAATTATCTATGCTGCATTACTGCAATCTCGAATAGATTAAATGCAACTTTTATCAAATGTATATCTTTGAAGCTTCCAAAGATTTAATCATGAGCTTTTCCGTATACTATCTAACTAAGGCCAACGGATTATAAGAATTTGATTCTTGGTGCGTCTTGTGATTCTCTTTGACACAGATTCATCGCGCTGTAGACCTGAACTTTAGGGTTTATAATAAGTTTGTCATGTAAGTTGCAATTTACAATGCATTTTGACTTGTGGGTACCTCCGTATTTGGAAATTACATACGAGTTAAGATTGGACTGCACCGAGGGCTTTGTACTACAAGACATTTTAAAATTTTTTGATCCTGGTCAACCTCATATACCTCTATATTAAAAAAATTTAGGCTTTTATTTTGTTGTTTGGTTTTCTTTCCTAGAAAAATCATTATTTACTACAAATTCATGAATAAAACGCTGAGGATTTTTCAAAGCACGTTTCGGTATTGACGCATCTTTGTTTATGCATGCGCAATTTTGCTCAAATATGTATTAGACACGAGTTAGAGCAAATGTCCCAATTTAAATATATATTTATGTATTTAAACTGGGACACATTCGTAGTTTCATTGAATTTTCACGATCTTCTCCAAACTCATCGAAGTTCTATGTACAAATCCTCCGATGATACGTATAACAGTGAACAAATTTATTGGGAAAAATAAAAAATATATAAATGCGATAACTATACAGTAATTCCATGGAATTGGGAGTTTTTTTGTTGCGTTTTTAAACACAAGTAAGGTTACGGATATCGTTTGGACTAAATCTCGTTGATAACAAGTTTTCAAGATTGTCTATGACGTGTGAAGAGACCTTCATATAGTTATGCGTCACGTGAACTTATTTGTTGGAATGAAGTAGATTTGATGTTTATTTTATTTGCCACTGCTTGGTCTATTGCATTCAATCAGCATATCCAAATTAATAATTTTTCTCGTAATATTTTTTTATTTTCTACAGATATGAAACGTTTAATAATTTGTTAATATACAAGCGTTTACACAACTATTGCAAGAGCGAGTAAGAAAGCATAGAGAAAATGAATGATCATTTATCTTCTATAAGAGCTCACCATTGACTCATATTGGCAGCGGTTTTCGTATAATAGATCATATGGTTAAAATATGATAAAAAATGCCATAAAGAGAAGTAAATTCCAGTTTAATGGTTTAGAAAATGAAATATTTAGCTTTTCTATTTCGCTGTTTAAACGAAATTTATGGTGATGTATGTGATGAATAACCGACTGTTTTTTTGTGTTTCCTCTAATGTATTTGCTTATGTCTCACACCAAAGTCATTTTCGAAAGCATTCGCGTGTAAAATTTAATCTACGCCTTTCAAAACTCCTCCAATCTCCGCCACCAAGGGTCGCCAGGTCACTATATCTTGCTGTGATCTTTTCAAATTGAGAAAATTTATGTAGGTATGAGGACTTGCAAAACAAGTCATTCTTGTTGTTTTGATGCTTGTAGTCAGACGGTAGTAAAACGGTGAAGAAGTCAATAGTGTTGAATTACTTGAAGACCGAAGATTTTTGTAAGTTTTTCAGACTTAGTTGTATTGTACTCTCATCAATAGTCAATATTAAAACCGAAACGCTTTAAAACGTAAGGTTGAAGTTTTTTGATTTTTTCATTCATTAGACAATTCATTGTGTCAGAAGTTAAATTTGATCACATAAAACCTGTCTTTCTTCCTTATTTATATGTCTATTTTCCGAGTACAAATCTTCAGATTATATTTTTAACAGGATAGTTCTTTGCAACTCACCGGAATCAAAGTGAAGATTATTTAGGCAATAACAATTCAAACTAAAACCATTTCATAATAATTGGTGTATTTCTTGTACAGCTTTTATTCTCTAGTCAAATGCAGAATTTCGATTTCCATAAAACAAGGCAATAACATAGGTTTTTACTTTAATAACGTGTATTCATGACAGAAGTGGTATGATATACGTGGCAGGAAGAGCACACGCAAGCAAATTTTCTTATGAAAATGAATATGCTTGGAAATGACTTCAATACTTAGAGTTATAGGTTGATAAGCTTATATCATAAAGGTGAAGCACCTTATTGATGAGAATTAGAAGAATCAACCTTTTGAGATAGTTTATCATTAACCAATTATCTATGCTGCATTACTGCAATCTCGAATAGATTAAATGCAACTTTTATCAAATGTATATCTTTTGAAGCTTCCAAAGATTTAATCATGAGCTTTTTCTGTACACTATCTAACTAAGGCCAACGGATTATTAGAATTTGATTCTTGATGCGTCTTGTGATTCTCTTTTGACACAGATTCATCGCGCTGTAGACCTGAACTTTAGGGTTTATAATAAGTTTGTCATGTAAGTTGCAATTTACAATGCATTTTGACTTGTGGGTACCTCCGTATTTGGAAATTACATACGAGTTAAGATTGGACTGCACCGAGGGCTTTGTACTACAAGACATTTTAAAATTTTTTGATCCTGGTCAACCTCATATACCTCTATATTAAAAAAATTTAGGCTTTTATTTTGTTGTTTGGTTTTCTTTCCTAGAAAAATCATTATTTACTACAAATTCATGAATAAAATGCTGAGGATTTTTCAAAGCACGTTTCGGTATTGACGCATCTTTGTTTATGCATGCGCAATTTTGCTCAAATATGTATTAGACACGAGTTAGAGCAAATGTCCCAATTTAAATATATTAATCTACGACTATGTGCAACAGTATGCAAGACAGGTATTCGAAATAGTTTGATGGTTCTGATCTGACGAGAACAAAAATAGTAAAGAAATCAAAATTCGTGACACCGTTAACTTAAGGAACGTCACATTGATTGTAAATTTTCCAGTCTTTGGTGTATTGTTTTCTTCTTCGCGTGTTTCAACACCTGTGTATAAAAATACTAGGAAAAAAGATGCTTAAAAGAAATCAGGCGGAAAGTTTTTAATGCAAAATATTTTATTCAATTTCACGTTGTCCCATCTTGCATTGTCTTTATATGATAAATAATATATTGTAGCTATAAGAAGTTTACAGAGTTGGAAGAATTAAGTATTGTCTTGATGCGTGACTTTCGTGACTGTGGGAGGGGGGGTTTGCAGCGTGTAATTACCGACAAAGACGTGGTTGGTGTATATATCTTGATAAATACTTTGCATGACGTGACAAAAGTTAGTCGTTCCAGACTTTTCCTGCGACTGACAAGCTCCATAAAAAGGAGCGTTTTGCCTACTTTAAACAGCCTTAAAATGGAGCGATTTGAGAAACTTAAAAACTTTTTTTACTGATACGGTGGAAATCACTGCTAAATTCAATGTTGCTCAAATGGGCACTTGAATCATTGAGTTCTATAATAACTGGAGCGGCTAAGTGGACTGGGAACTGTTGTAAAAAACATGGCGGCCAACGGACGTATTTCCGCTGAAATGATCGCTTTGCAGAAAAATAATATACTCGACCTCCCCCTGGTGTCTATAGTAAATTATAAAGAATTTTCAAAACAAACACGATATCACAGAATATGGATATCGTTAGTTCCATAATCTGTGACGATTCTTTTTGGCATTTCTTTATAATGCCAACACTTCAATCGTTCAATTGTTGGATGTCGTAGTTTCCACAAAAAGGAACATATCGCTTCTCACAGGTGAGGTAGTTGTTTGTTTTGTTAGTCCGTCAACGATTGAAAAGCAATTATACATGCACTTGAAAAGCCATAAAATACATATTAAAGATCGTATTTTTTAAGACTGACTTGAACGCCAAATATACTGATGTTTTCCTGTTTATAAAACTCTGTATACTTGTAAAATTCTTATAAAATTCTGTATACTTTTCTGTCATTTGTTAATGCATGAAATCGTAAATTTACCCATCTATTTGCAAAATAGTTTCCCTAAAGCAAAAGACACTGCACACATTTTGCTCTGTATCAAAATGTGATCTGGTATCAAAAGAAATGATCAGCCCAACGGTACCCATGATTTGGAGCAGAGCTTGTTATGTTCTATTTGCTGACAACATGCAGGGAAGATCAAGGAGTAAAGATGACTGGAAGATGTTATTGACCAGGCAGAGTCTTAAAAATGATAATGCTGTAAAGATAATTGATTTATTGTCTGCCCTATCCAGAGTTATTTAATTTGATTGTGGTCAAATTCTATGGATGGAGACAATGGATTCACTAAGGATGCCTTGAATGCTTTGAAGTTAAAGTTCATGATCCAAAGAAAGATGGCAAGAAGGTTGTGTGTGTTTTGATGCTTAATGAAATGTCAATTCACAAACATGTAAAATGGAAGGCCATAAAGTTTGTGTCTATGTAAACATTTGTACTGAGATTGATGATGACTCGATGCAGATGTGAAGCTTCAAACTGTATAAGCCATTGGGTTTTATGTAACTTAATGTTTAAATCATGTCATATCTTTATCAAAATATTTTAGTTGAGTGTTGTTTGAATGTTACTAATATCTAATGCACTATAATGAAGCATTAAAGATTCAGTGATGAAACCTTTAAAGTTACTGTACTGTATATTTCTTATATATTTCTTATATTTCTTCAAGAAAAATTTGAGCTTATTTACCTATTAGAGTACAGAATGGAGATTTATCATATGCATTATTGCTGCTTTTTAAAGAAAAGTTTTCACTTTTCAAAGCTTTTCTACAAATTTTTGCTTCTTATTTCTTATCATGAGATTGATGATATAGAGGTAATATAATCCAATAACTTTCTAATTTCTAAAAGCTTTTAAGCTTCTAGCATAAAAGTACACTATAGGAATGTAATTCATTTGGTTTTATTGCCTTGCTATGACATATCTACTTGCACTTCATCATTCTTGTATGAACAAAACACCAGATGTGGATACTCAGAGAACAAAATGCACTACCAACTGCTTATGAAATTTATTATTGAGGTGAAAACTGTGTTAATCATTCAAATTATAGTGCACTTATATTGCAAATATAGGAAAAACAAAACAAAGTGAAAAAGAAAGGTAGAAGTATTAAAACTACAAATGAATTATAAACACCATTGGAAGCATAAGTGTTTTGATGATTATTTGTATTTTGCCCAATTCATATATCAATACAACAAAATCAAAATGTGCTACAACTTCACAAGTATTTGATGCAGTTGCACTTCAGAACATCACAAAAAGGTTACTTAAAGTAATTTCTACACAATATTGTTTGTTTTATTTACCAAACCTATGCAGACTTGAGTCTTTTTGAAATTTCATATGAAACTCAATTACAGAAAATCCGTAAATATCCAGAGATTTAATATGTACTTTTTTAAAGAAACAAGTAAAAATCCTACAATTGTGGCGAAAAAAGCCATTGCCCATTGCATGAAAAGAAGCAAAATAGCAATGATAACAAATAAGCTGACTCTCTCGTGAACCGTGGAGATGAACTATGATATACTTTTTTGTATAGACTAAAGAGTTTAATCGATCAAACAAGTTTGACGCTGGTAAGAAAACGACGCACATCTGCATTCATACATGTGTAGCCGATATATAGGTCTTTCGTCGATAGTTATAAATGCATCCTCGTAGCAGCAGATAACTGACAACCACAGTTGACTCGCTGTTATGAATTTAAGGTTTTTACCTTGATTTTCAACAAAAAATTGCTTGCCGAATCCCAAATACACACATACATTTTCCTCACTCTTGCCTCAGGAGGGAGTGGGAAATTGTGAAATTTTCGGAAAAGCGGTCAATTTCGGTAAATCTCAGCGGCAACGGACGAAATCCGCCATGTTTTTTACAACATCAGATATCTAAGGCCGCGCTTGAGATAGCCGCTCCAGTTATTATAGAACTCAATGACTTGAATGAATTAATTAACTTACGAAACTTATCGGGGGGGTGTTAAAACATTCATTATCGAGAATTGATTTACCTTTAATTTGCAAAATTGCCCTATCTTTAACCTATTGGTATATAACACCCTACACACACTATACATACATGTTAGTCAGATCTCTCATTTGCTTGCTCTAAACTTCCCTAAATGAATTTCCTCTATTGTAATTTTGAAACTAAAGAGTGGACTAAATAAAGCTCATTATTTTGCCTTATATAGTTAAGCAGTTTAACTTTGATGTTTGGCGCAAAAAAATACGTACAATAAAGAAACGTTTGCTGTTCACATAAAGAACATTGGAGAACTTTACATAAATTTTTGCGTGACTACTAGAAGAGATCTAGCTTTCACGGTTCCAGCAGTTATGGGGATCTTGGAAGAAGCGAATTCTTCTATGAATAATGGCGATTATGAAACGGCTATTGAACATTACAATAATTGTGTAAAAGTTGCAGACGAGAACAGCATCAAAATGATGGCATTATTTGGTCTTGGTAATGCTTACACACTCTCTGATAAAGGGGAGGAAGCAATAAACTGCTTTAATGATTGCTTGAATCTTTCTTCTGAACTGGAAATTAAATATTTTCAACATCAAATATACCTCGGGTTGGGGAGTATCCATTGTACCACTAAAAGATTGGAGAATGGTATTAAGAAATATGAAATGGCCTGTCTCTGTCATGTTGCATTGGGAGGATTGAATAAATTGCTTGAAAATTATGAGAAATCTTTGGAGCATTATAAAAACGGATTCTCTTTTATTGATTGTGAACACCAAGAAGAAGAAATGCAACCTCGACAACGGAAAGAAAATCAACAAGGAAATCAACAAGAGCAAAATAAACGGCGTGAACGATCGCGACGACCAAGAAAAGTTGGTGGTATTAACGTTGGTAAAGATTTTTTGAATAACTTGAAGAACATGTCAATTGTTACTTCAGATGGAATTTTCAGTGGAGTGTTGGCTGTTTTATGGGAATTAGCAGAATTGTTTGATAAACTTGAGCAATATAGGGAAGCAGCAGATATTTATGAACTGTATCTGAAGATTGTCACAGAAGATGAAGATATAGAAAAACAAGAGAACGCTATGGAATATCTGATACAAATATACGAAGAAGAAGGACGTGATTTCTTAAAGGATTCAATGACAACGAGATTACAAGAATTTCGTGAGAAAAAAAAGAACCAAGGTAGAAAATGCACATGAATTCAGATTAATTAAGAGACAAATTTGCTAACTAACAAATACTATAAATTTGCTAACTAACAAATACTATAAATCTAATTTGAAATTCACGTAAAACTTGTTCGCCGTGTTCAATGTTTAGCATGAATTCAATGTGCATTTTCAGTGTAATGTAATACATTAAATTCCAGCTTCTTACGAAAAGATATCTTTGCCATCTCCCATGAGTGACAACGACTATGACGACATTGACAAAACTCATTCTACAGCCGTACTTGGTAAGAAATTGTATTTTGTTAGGAATCATTTGCACAAACATCTTTACATTCCCTTTAAATATCAGACACAAACAATTAAGAATCGTTTATATCATGCGTATCATTCATACGTTTGTAAAGGGTTAGATAAAAGAGTTTTAGAATTTGTCATCATACTGTAATGTTATTTAACTGCATTGCAAGAAATTACTGTTATTATCTATTAGATGATAATAACAGTAAAGTCATTACTGGTGTTTCGCCTTCCACATCAAAACCTGGTAAGCAAAAGAATTTTTTTCACCAAACATTTGCTGTCCAAACATTTCCATGTTTTTCAACGCTAAATACAAACAATAATTTATAACCTAATAAATTAATTTTAAAAGGTATCGTTATATGTAGCCAACTAAAATCTTTTAATTCAAAAATAATGCAAATGTTGTGGATCAAAATCATATGAAAATTTTAAACTTTGTAAACATAGAAATTTGATCAATACGTATAGAAAGTGAAAACTGGCTATGATGCTAAAAGTGAAATGTGAAAACCATCATGATCAACGTGTCAGTTACATGTATACGTTACACGTACACAAATGAACTTAAATAAAGTATTGTTGAAAACATCATTTTAAAACATATTATTCCATTATTGATAACAAATAAAAGCCAATAATTATGTTTACGAATACATTGTTTCATTTAGCGTTTAGGTAGTAGCTAGATGCCTTGATGTTGGATCTAAGTTATCCGTTTCCTTTAACTTTTTTGTGTGACAGATAACTGTTTCAAGAGATATTTATGATGTGTTATGAAAAAGTAAATTATTAGTTTTACGGAAAAACTTGCAATAAAACCCACGTTGTTATTTTTCCACCCAAAAGATTAGAAACCACAAAGTAAGGTAGTTCAACTCACTAGTTCAACTCTCTCTTTGCAAACACACGATATTATTATAACCATGCATGTAATATTTGCAAGACCGAATAACATACAATAAATGGTTACGTAACTGCAAATTCTATATAAATTATGGCTCGCTGAAAGGTTTGAGGGGGAGTGTTTTACGTCATGGGATCAACTTTATTGTCTCTTTATTGGATCAAATATCCCAAAATTATAGTGAGACCGACATTTTTCGTCTTTTATCCGTTTGTGGACCTACATTTTATTCATATTTGACAAAAGCTGGGTAGTGTAACATGTGATATACACGTTTATTTTCTTTATGATGTGTTTAGATGCAGATGATAATTTGGATGAACACTTTTCGATGAACACAAGCTTTTCAGAAGGTAACCTTAAAAACATTAGGTTCTTTAATTCTCCGAACTCTTTTCACCTCGACAGATGCTTTAATCTTTGATTTTTCAAACTCAAAGTTTCCTCATTTAAAGGGAACTGTCCTGCATATTTACATAAGATCATTACACTATAATATTTGCTTAAGTTCGTTAAAAGTATGCAAAGCCGATGTGGGCAGCAAAAAATTAAAATGCATGCCAAAAAATGTTCTTTATGAAAATGCTCTTTGTGACTTAGATATTGGTGTGAGTCGTTGAAAAAATAACAAGCTTTGTTTACAAAATTTCAGCGTTTCGACAGATTGCTATTTTTGACTAATTCCGTTATAATGGTGCAAAATAATAAATTTTAAAAGGTTTACTCATTCCTATACTCTCACCATTTTACGACAATGAGATACTCAAATGTAAATCGAATGCAAAACATAAATATAAACTTTGTGCTAGGGATTAATGATGGTTGTCTTACTGCAGAAAAGAGTGTGGATGAAGGATACCTTCGTGAATGATTGTTTATATATCCGTGTTTATAAACCTGCAACATTCTTAATAAATCAAAGCGTTCTCAACTTTCACTGTGTTGCAACTAAAATAATTTTTTGCTATTGCGCTTGCACACGACGATAATAAAGTTTTTGTTTTCAAAATTTATTGTACAAACTATATGCTTGTCTACAATAACCTTAAAAATATAATGATAGCTATATACAAAAATACTTTTATTTGTTTCTACGTATTTCATCATTACTCATGTGACGACCTTTTTTCTTGACCAATGGATATTTTCCTCGTAATCAATGCAGAAACAAACATGTTATTGTTGAAGGGAAAAACCAATCAAAAATACTTTCTATACTGGAAAATTGTAATTTGTGGTTCTGTAATTTTTATATTTTCTTATATTTATAGTCGGTGTGATGTTATGTTGTAACCAAATGTTAAAATAAGCCCATACATTAACATTGTTCATAGTTCATGATAAAGAGCCCATTAAATTGTTTTGTTGTGTTATAAATAAAACAAAAAATGCTCTAGTTGCTTGTCAATATAACTATATAATATTTTAATATTATTTTATTATTTATTTTTCATAATGCAGAAGAGGGAAAACAACGTTTGGAAGGTTGGTATAACGAATTATTTTCAGTTTCGTATAGGATTATGATTAATTTTTTACTGCTCTCAATTGCTTGAGTGGGAAAATGCTGTGTAAATTTATTCAATTCTCAGAATTTTTTAATGACTATTAATTAGGAATGAAAAATTCTTTTCATTGCTTTGTAAACATTTGTAGAGATCATCGAGTAAATTCAATTTATTTTAAGAGGATTTTTGGTCATAACATTCAGATAGTAAATTTCATAATTTATGTTAATGTGAAAAGGATGTGTGTTTTATCCATTGCAGAATTGCTCGATCTAGTATAGCAGATCTAGCGTTTGTCAAAATGAATTATAGATGCTCAATTTTAAATTCAAAATATATTCAAACCAAAACTATTGGATTTGAATTTCAAAAAATTAAACTTTATCAATGGACTTGCCTCTATGTATTTGGAAATGGAAACATATCCAAGCAAGAGCTGCAGCAATTTTGACGTACCCTAGATCCGCCACGGGCATTATTGAGTTAAAGGTTGGTATGGTCATGCAATAAATCAATCGTGGAACGTTGATTATTGCGTATGAATTGTATGATGACCAACTCATTTCTACCGGAGAAAATGTTATTTCCATATGAAAGTAAAAACACAGCAATGTTATATGTTATGTGATAATGCCAAAACAAATAAAACTGTGAATTGATGAATTTATCAGTCCTTTTTTAATTTTTCCTGACTTGTACTTCTCTTTTAAGTTCAAGAATTGTTGCGTCAACCATGGAAATGTTTTGATAAATCAATAATGCATCAGGGAAAGTTTAAAAAGATGGAGGAATATGGACGCAAACATCCAAAAAAAGTTACACTGCTCAATGAATTGTGTGTAATTTTTAAGGAGGAGTTTTTGCTTGGCAAGGGAAGTGATGGAACTCGTGTTTACCTTGGACTCGGAAAAGATGGTTATGGAAAAGCAGTAAAACGATTACTTCGAGATAACTCTGTGGAGTTAGCCAAACGAGAAAAAGAAATTTTGAATGAGTTGAATGCAAAGCGTTCAAATTATGTTGTGAATTTTTGGGATTTAAAAGACAACCCTGACGAAGAGTATTTGTACATGATATTAGATTTGTGTGAAGAATCGTTAGAGAGTTATGTGGAATCTTCTTCTTTGCAAGATCTTCAAAAAGTCGTTCCTAAAGTTCTTATTCAGATCTTAAATGGTCTAGTTCACCTTCACAGCGGAGAGCGTCCTATTCTTCATCGGGATTTAAGACCATCAAACGTTCTTCGTGATGTGGATGGAAATTTTTTAATCGCTGACTTTGGTATAAGTCATTTGTTATCTGATGAAACTTCGACACATCGGAGCGTACAAAGAGGAGCTAAAAATTGGATAGCTCCAGAGTCATTCAGCGCATCAGATGCATCAATTGATAAAGTTCGTTACAAAAAAGAGTCTGACATTATGGTAAGTTCTTGAAGTAGAACTAGAAGTCCAACTACAGCTTAATGTGGTGTTCAGAGGCCGCGGAACCGGGGGGGCATTGGGGGCATATGCCCCCCTACTTTTTGCAACAGGGAAAAATGTGCCCTTTTTCTGGAATGAAAGTGCCCTTTTTCATGGTGTAGAAATGCCCTTGTTTTAGGTAAAATTGGACTGGAGAAGTTTTTCTTAGACACATGTAGCTCCGAGAGTAGAACAAAGTCTGTCGGCATCATACGAAATCAGTTATAGCTTAGTTTTTGATCTTGATTACCCAGATGGATCAAAAAGCGCGTTTGTCAGTTGGTGTTGTCTTCGCAGACGTCCGCCCAGTAACTTAATTAACCAATGAGAAGTCGCCATTTATGATCCACATGATACTATAAATTCTACGGCAACGCATTGCATACTTAATAAAATTGTTCATGTAGCCATCTTAGTTCAATTTGTAAGCACGCACGCCGAGCAGTAGAGAATACGCATAGCATTCTAAGAATGTCTACCAATGTATTGCAGACTTTGAAACTTAATCATGATTCATGAAACAATGCACATGTGTAATATACTAAAACAGTAAGCTGCAAACTCACATGCCCTTTTCGGTCAGTGCCCCCCCACTTTTGAGATACTTCCGCGGCCCCTGGTGGTGTTTGCATTAAATTAAATATTGGTATTTGGTAGTGATAATGATTTTACCTCAATTTTTTTCTTTAACTCGATTGTATCGTCATGTAGTGTCAACATATAAAGTTAAATAAAAATAAATTAATTTTTGATAAACGTGTCACAGTTACAATTGTATGTTCCTTATTTAGATTGCTTTTGATACATATATATGGCTACAATTCTATTTGGAGAACATTTTTTAGATTTTTTTAAGCTGCACATTTACTGTCGAGTTCTGCAAATCGCAAATAAATTCAATCTTTAAGGTTTTAGTATCCACCACTGACTGTTTATGACAATTTTTTATTGAAAATAGAATGCGGGAATGGTAGCTTATTATGTTGCAACAAAGGGAAAACATCCTTTTGGACCTGAGGCGTATAGACTACAAAACATGTTGGAGGGAAAACCCATTGGTTTGAAAGAAATCAGGGATGTTCAACTTAAAGATCTTCTTTCATGGATGCTACAACGACAACCTGGAGACAGGCCATCTGCCGTTAAGGCATTAAAACACCCTTATCTACAATCAGACAAAGAGAAATTTAATATGCTGTGTGATATGGGAAACCAACTGAAGGTGAAACATTCACAAGATCAAAATTCTCCCACTTCAGACGTTCATACGCCTCTTCTGGTGCACAAAGTCATAAGGTCTACTGACTGGAAAACAAGACCTGATCTCAAGAAACATTTTACGAGTAAGTAAGAGCTACGAAAATGATTTTTTTCTCGACGTTGTAGCTAATTAATGGTTCCATGACACTATAATGTTAAACCTTAACTGTCATTTTCACCGTAATCGTACATTCGTTTCCTAGGATGTACTATTTTGATGTTGATTTCTGGTAATGATTATTTTAGTATTGAGGTTTTAAATTATCCTCTCACAACTCTCAACTGCTTTTAGTTTTATGTGTTTTATGCATGCTGTCAAGACGTTTACTATTTCATTATTTCTCATTTGGGGTAAAGTTGGTCTTTTTGGCAGCCTTATAACATTTCTTTATTTGAAATTACCTTGAAACCATGCATTCTTAGATACCAAGCTGGTTGAACAACTTGAAGAAATCAATGGAAAGAAAAGGGAAGACATAAATGACGATATGGATCTTGACGGTAAATATAATTCTTGCTTTGTCACTCTTAAATCATAAATCTTAGGCTTGTTGGAGAGTAAAAATTAAACATAAGCAAAATGATGTGGTAAGACGAAAAGAAGAGCTGATGTGTTTGTTTGAAAGGATATGGTTATATATGTCGTCATTGAATCCGGAAAATCCATTAAGCACCAAAAAGCAGTTTTATTTTTGATGATTTTGTTGAATGATGGTTCCGTGACAATGTGCAAGAGATTTAAAATTTTTCTATGAATTAAAATTTTTTATGGGCATCGTATAAATGCTCTGCATTATTTCTCTCAACTCCATTCAACTTTAGTTGTGTACGTTGTATTTTAGGCTTATATCTGAGAAAGTTAATTATTTTGTTTGTGTATTTCTCATTCGAAAGTAGTTTTGTCTTTCTGGCTGTAATTTGAGTTTACTTGAATTAAAATAGTTTCCTTTTGCTTTCATCTAGTAGAAATTGAAAGAGTAAATGGATGGAAAAACAAAGAAGACCCAAGTCATAACGGTATTTGATAGCAACAAACTTATTTGTTTGTGTGGTGGGTGTCTATTGTGCATTGTTTTCGTGGATTAGTTTGAAGTGGTATGCTTTTATCATTTGTTCATTTGTTCAAAGTTGTGAATAAGTCGTTTGTAGGTGCCTGTAGTTTTTGTGATCTGTTCAGTTTCTTAATGGATTAGTATAGCAACTTTTTAACGTGAATAGTATGTATTCAGTGCTGTATGTGATGAATTATGCCGAGTCCTTGCAATCAATGTTGTGATTTGTCATTTTTGTCATTCGATGATGTTCGGGAATGTGGTTGGTGTTATAAAACGTGTTTTAGATAGTTATTCTCATGGTGTTGAGCGTCTGTTGAATCATAAACGTGTTGTGCACTTATTTTTAATGTTCCATTCGTGATGGTATAAGCATGCCGGTGAATTTTTTAACACACGCTTAATTCTGTAATGACTTTTAATTTCGAAAACGCATTAGTGTGGACAGATGAAGATAACACAAAAAATCTGTCAATGTTGCAAAACGTATTATAAAATAACTTTTAAACTCGTAGAAATTTGATTTTAGTAAACCCTTAACTATTTCCGAGCTTGAAATAACGTAAATTACTACTTTTTGTGCGTTTGCAGATTGTGTTAAGAAGTGATTGAGTCATTTAAGCCTTTATGCTTTTTAATTTGTGGAATGATTTTCATGAGTCATTGCTTTAAAGTAAATGGTTTGAACCCGGGAGTATCGTTACATGTTTGTAAATGTCACATGTTCGAAACGTCAGTCAACAACAACAAAAACAGTCCTTCTCAGGACAACCTGGACGATCTACATTTACAAACATGTAGTCATTACTTTAGTTATACTCACTCTTTACTCGACGCTTGAATATTAACATGTTCCCAACGCATGATAACCGGCATTGCTGAAGTGCAATAGTTTTTCTGATTTGTTTGTTATTAAATGTATCGATCCACATAATTTTTAACATCTTAAATTGCCTGTGATTTTAGTTTCGGAAAAAAATTACACAATTTTCGTGATAAAGCAATTGTTTTTAAAGGGGAGGGCAAATTTCCGAAAAAGGGCTTTTTGGGGTTAAAATTTCCCGTGAGATCGGGCTTTCTAGAGGCCTGTAGTATCTAGACATAATTTTTACTTTTTTGCTCTTCTGGACTAACTAAATGTGCCAAATTTAGACTATTTATGATATTGAAAACCGTAAAAGCGTAAGAAATATTATGTGATTCGCAAACTAGCCGTGGTCATGTTATACACCATTGAAAATAATGAATGTTGGCAATTCAGACAAAAGACATCAAACGGGTTACTTTATCAACAAATTAGTGAAAGATGATCAAAGAGGAAGATATGCTCAATGAGATGAAATATGGTGCAGTCAAAAATGTCCGAAAGCCAAATAAAGTGAAAGGGACTTTCATCACGAAAATTGCGCAAAGCAAGTTTCTACAGAGCAAGTGATACTTTGTGGTATTGTATTATAAGTAAACGCACGCTTTCAGGGATAAAAGAAATTAAATGTTCTTCAAAGAATATTGAGGATAGAGGTTTACGACTAAATATCCTCATTCCTATATTTGCGGTAACACGTTAGTAAATATTTCTGTTGCAACGAAAGAAACCGACGCGACCATATCTGTTGACCGATGCAGACTGGTATATTTGATTATCGGCTGTTGGTATGAATGATTCTACTTTAACTGCTATCTCCAAATACACTTTGGCATCAGTTGACCAAGTTTAAGGAATTCGTGTGCTAAACTTTAAGTCAAACAGAAGATTATAAAATGAAGGCTTTAAGAAGTGATATTTGTGGTGAATATTGGGTAGAGACGTTTCTTTAGTTTTGTGCTGCAAAGATTTTGTGCAATAACCTACAAGCTCTTATTCTCCAGAGCATAATGGTATTTCAGAGCGTTTGACTAGGACAATCACAGCATTGAATCGATCAGTGATGACGCTGTCTTGTTGGCTATATAAACGCACAGAAACGCAATAAATTTTACTTAAAGTTCACATTCTGGTGTTATATATATAGTTGAAGAAGATCGACGATGGTGATGTTCATTTTCTACAGGGAATGTTGATCTGCGACTACTTTAAGAATATTTTCAACCAATTTGGGATGGAGAAATGCAAACGCATGTACACGTGTCAAACCGTCGAAAAAATTTTAGATTTCTCAGACGATGAAAAGATTTAGTAAAAGTCTCTTTTGCTAAATCTCCCTCGGTTTACAGGACTTTTAATCACAAATATCCCTGCGTTATGGCAGGGATGTTTGTGATTAGCATTATGATTGAATGTAGACAATACCATTGAATGAAAGTAATATCCGATCAAACTCAAAGTAATTTCCGATCTGTCTCTTGAGTAACATTTTACTGCCCGAAATTAAGATTAGCCTTTTCGAAAAAAATGAATACATTACCATTTAATCTATTGAATAATATACCAAAAAGCCGAGCCTATTCTATTGTGTTATTTGCACGTATTCGAATCTTGTGTGCGACGAATTACTTTCAGCTCACTTCCACATGTTTGATTATTTCCATCCCTTATCCTTAAATGTAATACTTTTACATAATTTTTAGAATTGCAGTTGAAAGAATGGAAGTATTTTGATCAATCAATAAAGCACAAAGAGATGTTCTTAAAATTAATTAAGTATGGACGCGACCCAGGTATGAAGGTTGAATGTGTGAACGACATACGTGTAATTTTCTCGGACGAGTTTTGTATCGGCAAAGGAAGTGATGGAACACGTGTTTATCTTGGACTGGGAAAAGATGGTTACGGCAAAGCTGTGAAACGAATAATTCGTGATAACGACATTAAACTAAAACATGAAGCAAAGTTTTTTAATGAAATCAACGCAAAGAAATCGAATTATGTTGTGAATGTTTTGTTAGAAGAAAACACTGGAACGGAACATTTCTATTTAATCCTTGACCTATGTGAAGAATCGTTGGAGAGTTTTGTGAAATCTTCCACATTGCAGGAACTTCAAAAATCACTTCCCGAAATTCTCAAACAAATGTTAAAAGGATTAGCTGATCTTCACTGCGACCCAAGTCCTATTCTTCATCGGAATTTAAAGCCTTCCAATGTTTTCAGAGATGCACAAGGTAAATTTCTGATAGCTGACTTTGGTATTAGCCAAATATCGAAGGATGGCTCTATGACATATACAAGCAACACTAACAGGGAAACTGAGTATTGGATTGCTCCTGAATCATATCGTGAAAATGATGAGTCGGTTGATAAAGCACGTTACATAAAAGAGTCTGATGTGATGGTAGGTGTAGAAATGTAAATTTGAATAATTAAATTCAATTTTTGGCGTTTCATTCACACTTTCACCTTTTTATTGGTTTTAGAATGCAGGAATGGTGGCTTATTATGTTGCAACAAAAGGGGAGCATGCTTTTGGAACTGAAAAGAATAGACTGAAAAACTTGTTAGATGGAAACCCTGTTGGATTGGAAAAAATTGGTGATTGTCAACTTAGAGATCTTCTTTCATGGATGCTGCAACATACACTCAAACTCAGACCATCTGCAAAAAAAGCGTTAAAACATCCATATCTGCAATCTGCTGAAGAGAACTTTGATATGCTGTGTGATGTGGTGAATCAACTGGAGATAGAGATAAGTGATCCTCTCAACTCAGATGTCCATAAGCAGTTAAATGATCCAGAAAATTGGATGGACCGTATCGACAGAGAAATTTTTAACAATTTCAATGACTTTGACTCTACATGGTTAGGCTGCTTAAAATTTTTACAAAACGTTCGCAAGCATTGGCAAGATGAACCTCATCCACAACTGCCGCTAAGTGAAGGCAACTATAAACAGTATTTCCTGCAAGTTTTGCCGGAGCTTCCTCTTTTGGTGCACAGAATCATAAGGTATATCGAAAGGAAATCCATTCCAGATCTGGAAGAACACTTTGCTAGTAAGTTAACCATTAAAATATTTCTTTTTCGTCAATGATGTAGCTAATCAATCTCTAAAATCTCTGAGTGTAAAAATGCAATCTAGTCAGTCAGGTATTCCGGTTGTACAGTCGAAGTGTAAATTTTCTGCGTTTGATTTGTCGCGATATGTTTGTTTATCAGTGTATCAAAGATTGTCATGAACAATCTAACCATTTTAAAAATTTTATCTCCAACATCCCCTTTGACGGTATGAAATGGTTAAAACGCAAATATATTTTTAAAATATACTAATATTGATATGGAGATAAACAAGGAGTGAGTGTTTGCATGGACGGCGAAGCAACATTATAAAGTGCAGGGCTAAGTCTTCAATTCTACTATGGAGTCTTAAAAAGTTCCTCTAAACAACGACTTCAGCTCAGTCTAAATATATTTTTTGCAAAAAGTGGGGGCTTCAGCTCTCCCAGACCCCCAGGCTGTTAACGTTAGTGCAAAGCTTATGATTAACTGTAAGGATTTTTACAGTTAGGCGAAGTATGACCCTCACACTCCATAAAGTGTTTATTTTGTTAATAAAATTTTGAATGTTGCAATGTCGGCTGCTGTTGCCATAACATTACATGGCAAGTGATCGAGATGAACAACTACACCCATTAATTCTCTAGTATCGGCTATCACAATTTTATCTGAACTGAATGCTTAAATGATTTATTTATGAAATGGTTGTTATGGCAAATTGTGCAGTTAGTACCTATTTGAATCATTTGGAGTATGGCGGACGTTGAGTTAGGTCTAATTAATTAATTTTCTTATTTTATTAATCTTTAAAAGTAATATTTTTACTCCAATTTCAGAACTGCAGTTGTTGGAGTGGAAATGCGTTGATGAATCAACTAAACATAATCAATTGTTTTTAAAAATGGTTAAGTATGCACAAGATCCCAAAGTCAAGGTTGAATATATAAGCGATGTACGTGTAATTTGCTCCCGAGAATTTTGCATCGGCAAAGGAAGTGATGGAACTCGTGTTTATCTCGGACTGGGAAATGATGGCTGTGGAAAAGCAGTGAAACGAATACTTCATGATAACTGCATTGGGCTTACACAACAAGAAAAGAAAATTTTCGAAGAAATTATCGAAAAAAAATCGAGTGATGTTGTGAATTATTTTTACTTAAAAGAAGACATTGCATCAGAATATGTTTATTTAATACTCGACTTGTGTGAAGAATCGCTGGAGGATTTTGTGCAATCGGAATCAAATAGTTTGGCTTATCTTCAAAAATCGCTTCCCAAAATTCTCAGACAAATTTTAAAAGGTTTAGCTCATCTTCACAGCGAGCCACGTCCTATTCTTCATCAAAATTTGAAGCCTTCTAATGTTCTCCGTGACGCCCAGGGCAAATTTCTGGTAGCTGACTATGGTATGAGTCAAATTTTGAAGAATGACTCTGATAAATCAAAAAGGATTGAGTATTGGACTGCTCCTAAGTCACATTACAAAAAAGAGTCAGATGTAATGGTGGGTGTAGATTTGTAACTATTTGCATAGTACACTTAAATTCATTTTTATACGTGTATGAAAATTTTTTTTATATTTTTTTCACGCTTTTACTTTTTCAATGATTTTAGAGTGCAGGAATGGTGGCTTTTTATGTTGCAACAAAAGGGAAACATCCTTTTGGAGATCGAACGACAAGACTGCCAAACTTGTTGAATGGAAACCCTGTTGAATTGAAAAACATAGTAGATGTTGATTTTAAAGATCTTCTTTCATGGATGCTACAAAGTGTACCTGAACTAAGACCATCTGCCAACGAGGCGTTAAAACACCCATATCTACAATCCGATGAATGTAAGTTTGACTTGATGTGTGATGCGGGAAGCCAACCAGAGAGAAAGATACCATATTTAGGTCATCCTCTCAATTCAGATGTCCATGAGCAGTTAAATGGGTTAAAAAATTGGAAGGATCGTATTGATCCTGAAGTCTTTAGTGATTTCAATGTGGGACATTACGATGCTACATGGTTAGGTTGCTTAAAATTTATACATAATGTTCACCAGCATTGGAATGATGTACCTCGTCCAAAACGGCTTCAAAGTGATGGTAATTATAAAAAGTATTTCTTGCAAGTTTTTCCAGAGCTTCCTCTTTTGGTGAACAGAGTTATAAGATTAAATGAATGGAAATACAGACCTAATCTCGAAGAACACTTTTCAAGTAAGTTACAAGCATTTAGGTATTTGTTTAGTTTAAACAGTGTAGTTAAATTTGTGATAACTTTAGAGGCGAAAACAGCCTTAATATCAACGACCCTCAAAAGAAACATCTTGCTATGGAAAAGGTTTGAAAGGCTTGAACTTAAGATATATAATCAATTGGGTTAGTCAATGAAGCAAATTAAGTTTTTTACTCAATTACTTGTAATTTAAGTTTGAGTTGCAACATGACGGATATTATCAGGGGCATATTTTCTTGGGAATACAGGAGGGTGCGAATATTCTCCTCCCAAATTCTCTAGTACCCTCCAACAGAAACTTAAAATGGTGTTATATACTGTCGAGTAATATTATAACGGTATCTGAAGTAAGGAAATTGTACAGTAGGACTGAGTAAAAAGTGGAAGTTATCATTTCAAAGACAATTACATGTTTTATATGACCACCATTTGCAATTGAGTTACTACCATGCGTGTTTTTGTTTAAACATTCAAATCGAAATAAATTACTTAACGCGAAGTAAGCAGTTTTATCATGTCAATTTAGTTTGCCGTTTATTTTCTTCTCCCTTGTTTGTCATGTGTGAAAACGACTGTTGTATTCGTGTTTTACTCGTCGTTGGCAATATTTTGATACATAATTTATGAAGCTTTGTTGATTGTTTAAGGAAGTATGCTACAGCTATATAACTTTGAGTTATAATTTACTTAACTTTGTAAAAGAAAAGCTAATTACATTTTCATTTTGCAAGATTCACTAATCCGTAAGCCTAAAAAGCCACAACAGTCCTAGGCCGTGCTAATTTTACCTAGGATTACGATGCACCCCCTCCCTTGTAAAATCTACACCCCTCCTGTCAAATGAGCATTGATCCACCCCTGGATAAAACCAAAACAATGTCATTTATGTAGTAATGATTTACAATGAAAGTCTCAGATATAGCCAGTTATAGAAAATAAGGGAAAACAAGAAAGATGAAAGAGAAAAATTATGTATTTAAATTGTGTTTTGGTCTCCAATATCATTTCCAGTATTTTGCACATTTTAATACACGAGACGAATGTGTTATTTATGTCTTTATGTTTTACTTTTATACAGTGTTGACTTCACAGAACTTATGAATTCATCAATAAAAAATTAATACAATAATAATTATATGACTTTACGTTAGTTTAACACTTAATACTTGAATATAAACAGGACCCTCGATAAACTGTAGTTAGTTGCATTTCAGAGCTACTGGTGTCAAAAGCGTTTTATTGCAGTAAAAATAGCTTTTTGTCATTACTTATTTGACGTCCGTGACTCTCCAGTCCTACCAGAAGCGATTCCTTAAATAAGTAATTTATGATTTATTGAAAAGTTCTTCGTCAGTCTTGTAGGCAATGAGGGAATTTGAGCTACTTTTTTCCATTTAGTCATCCCTAACTGTAAGAATCGTGTGTCATTTTAGAATTGAAGTTGCAAGAATGGAAATACATTGGTGAATCAAAAAAACATAAAAATTTATTCTTAAAAATGATCAAGTACAGGCACCATCCCGACGTTGAAGTCAAATATTTGAATGATGTATGCGTAATTTTCTCAGAGGAATTTTGCATTGGCAAAGGAAGTGATGGAACCCGTGTTTTTCTGGGACTGGGAAAGGATGGCTACGGAAAAGCAGTGAAACGAATGCTTCGTGATGGATGCATCAATCTTGCGCATCAAGAAACAGAAACTTTAAATGAAGTAGGCGCAAAGGAATCGAAGTTTGTTGTCAATTATCGCTACTTAATAGAAGACACGGGAACAGAACATGTCTATTTGATACTGGACCTATGTGAAGAATCGCTTGAGAGTTATGTAAATTCTTCTTGTTTGGAGGATCTTCAAAAAGCTCTTCCCGAAATTCTAAGACAAATGTTAAATGGATTAGCTGATCTTCATAGTGGCCTTCATCCAATTCTCCATCGGGATTTAAAGCCTTCTAATGTACTGCGAGATGCACATGGAAAATTTCTGATAGCTGACTTTGGTATTAGTCGAATATTGAAAGATGGAAGTAAGACAAAAGTAAGTAATGCTAAAAAGGGAACTCCGCATTGGATTGCTCCTGAATCGTTTAATACAGAAAATCCGATTGGCAAAGGACGTTACAAAACAGCGTCAGATGTAATGGTAGGTGTTTGCAAGTTAAGTTTAAATTTTATTTTGTTTGAATTCCTTTTATCATATTACGTTGTGATTTATTTTAGAATGCAGGAATGGTAGCTTTTTATGTTGCCACAAAAGGAGACCATCCTTTTAAAACTGAAGAGAATATATCGAAAGGAAACATTGTTGGCTTGGAGAAAATAGATAATGTCGATCTAAAAGATCTACTTTCGTGGATGCTACAGCTAAAACCGGAAGACAGACCATCGGCCAACGAAGCGTTAAAACACCCTTATCTACAAACCGATGAGGAGAATTTTGATTTTCTGTGTGATGTTGGGAATGAACCAGAAATAAAGACATCATCTCCACAATCTCTTCCCTCAAATCTTTGTGAGCAGTTGAATCTTTTAATAAATTGGATGGACCGTATCGATCCTGAATTCTTTAATCATTTCAATAAAGTATCCGACTCTACATGGTTAGGTTGCCTAAGATTTTTACGAAACGTTCGCCAGCATTGGCAGGATAAACCTCGTCCACAACTGTCATCATGTGTTAAAGATGGAAACTATCAAGAGTATTTTCTTCGACTTTTTAAGGAACTTCCTCTTTTAGTTCACAGAACCATAAGATTAAGTGACTGGAAGACAAGACCTGTTCTAAAGAAATATTTTCCAAGTAAGACACAGAAATGAGTTTTCATTTTCGATGGCAAGCTATAAATTAGGGGTCCATGACACCATATTTGCAAGTTGTCCTCTCCATTTTTTGTACTTAATGCATACATGTTTTGAATTCTGTACATTGCCTTTGCAAACATTTTTTAGACAGTGAACATCCTGTAAAACTTGAAGATGGCAAGGGAAAGAAAAGCGAAGCTGTTATTGATTAATCTGATCTTAACGGTAAATAGCTATGTAACAACAAACTAATGCTGTGTACGTGTCACTTTTCTAAAATATTCTACCAAAAACCGTAATCTCTCCACTTGTATGTGGTGTATCATTTTCTAATTTTGTGCAACTGAAAATAACGGTTCAAGCATGTGTGATAGTACTAGAAATAGTCAAAAATCTTTAGACGAGATTAACGATTTGTCAGATATCCAAAGATAGTGACGAGTACCTACAAATCATGGTGATTCAGAGACTTTGGCATATTTTTATCGTATGGTAAAAAGAAACTTATAGCTTATTATGTTGTCAAACTTGTAAAGAGCACACATGCAATAGTAAATATTGCGTATCCTTTGCTTTAAGTCAGCAAATGCTTTCACGTCGTATGCATTAATGCTGAAATTGCGAAAAATGCTTGCTTAGAAAAAGAAGAGAGTTTTCGATTAGAGTTATTAATCCTTTTAGCAGCTCATTTCACTTATTTTATTTTCTTTGTATTATTTATCCTAAGTTTAAATGGTCAGATCAAATGACGAATGGAAAAACAAGAACATTATCGTTTTCAATTTAAAGCTAAAATGTGCCACATCAATGAAGTCTTTTTATTGTCTGCAAAAGAGGTTTATGGGAAAGCAATTGGCAAGAAGGAAATCAATGATACCACAATTCAAGATCCTCTTTTATGTATGTTTTAATTTGAGGCTCTTAAGCAAGTTAGATTAAGTAACCAAGTTGGATATTACATGGCCAGATTGCTATGACTTTTCATTGGATTTTGCAATGTTATATAATTAACTATTATTTTTGTCTTCAAATGACTAACGATCTAAAACTGAAGGCGAATGAAATTTAAATTTGATTTTCATACATCATGTTTGTTATGTAAAATATTCAATAAATTTTAACATGTGTAATTTAATAATACATAGCATGTATACAATGTATAACAATACATATAACTATATATAACAATATAATATGGATGTCATGACTTGTAACGCAATTAAGGAGTTGCTCGATCTGTGCTCAAAATCCGTTGTATTTTAGCGTTATATAAGTCTTTCGTATGAGGTCCGAGCGTGAGTTCAATGTACTAGAACGCTATTTAGTTTATGTACGTCACTACAGTACCACTGCAAAGTGTAAAAGATTGATATGCATAAAAAAAACAACTTATTGAATTGGGGAAATTGGTAATATTTGAATAAAATGACACTTTCATGTGAGGTTGTGATCATTTCCTAGTATTTCTTTTGTTGCAGCTTTGAAATTGTTAAAAGAAAATCTGTGTACGTTGAGGTAATGATGACGAAGTCAAAGTTGCTGAATTTTTGTTTATTTTGGCTTAGTTGTGTTGCATTTTTTTTTGAGACTAAAGATCGTATTTTTTAAGCCACAAGTTTGCATTTATGAATTTCAGTCTTTTAAATACTTCGCCAGATCTGTCTCTTTCAGTCATTTGTTACTTGTTAGGTCAAGATTCCACATTTTCAGTTAATTTCCATTGATTCTATTATTGTAGTGTGCATCATTGGTGTGTACGGAACTCAAAGTATGAATACTGCCGAGGGAATCTACCATGTTTCGTTATTTTAATTGAAACATCCATATTTCTCGTGCCTTGCTTTACAAAAGACAATTTTCGCAATTATTTGTGAGTTATCAGTTATCTAATGATAAGCTTTTCGTCTTGAGAGAAGAATTTTTATCAGATTATTTTTATTTTGATGGCTATTTAAACTACAAATTAAACACAAATGCAGTAAACCAAATCATTAATCTCATAATTATGTCAACAACAACTCGCTCGTAATGCAACTCGCCTTTGCATGTTGTCAATCACACTTTTTCCTAATTTTTGATCGTTAAGCTCTACAAAAAAAAATGGCTCAGGAGTCGGGAAGCTATGTATGTTCGGAAGCTTCCAATTTTTAGATTGTGAGCATTTTATAAGATTTGATAAAAAATTGAATACTTGGTTTATACAGATGTGCCACTTTTCAATGAGGGTGACATGATACAGTTAAACCAAAAAAAATCGAATTAAATATCAAAAAATTTATTACACTAGTTTAACTATTGTGAATTACCACACAGTTAGCATGGCACACACACAACTTTTCGAAGCCTCTGCAGTTGAATGTATTGTTTTACATGCAAGTGTTTATTAAATATTTCTGGGCTTGTTTTCTTGTTGTAGCAACAGAAAATCCCAGAAGAAAAGAGGTGTCTGCTCGAAATATCAAGGTGTATGTAATCACCAAACCTAGTCAATGACATGAGCCTGAGAGTATTTTCCAAACTTGTTGTTGTGAATTGATTTAATGCCTTTTGTTCATGTTTTGTACTCCAACTTTCTAGAATAAGTTATTGGTTGAAAGAACGATTGTTGGCAATGTATTCAGCGGCTTTACCAGTCAATGTTATGCTTTTAAACATAAAAATATAACAACCATCGCCAGCAAGACTTCACTAAAGTGCATCCGTTAGCAAAGAAAGGGTTGTCCAATAAGGATGTGGATATTATGTACATTGTCATTGCTAAGAAGGAAGATTTTAAGCATTTTGGTATAAATCGTATTGTATGATGCAAATGACTAGCTTTCAAAATTCGAACCGCTAACCAACTGCAGGGCGTTCGTAGCGAGTAGAATGAGACTTATTTATTAAACTCGGGGTTTGAACAAAGTTATTTTCCAAAATGCAGTCTATGTTTAAGCTTTTAGCATGTTTGTAGATTCCGGGGACTCTGTAGCATGTGCATAAAAAACTGAAGAATGTCACGGTCCATTCCTATCTCGAAATACGTTTTTCTAAACAAAATTAAAATCGACTAAAACAGAACATCTCTCCTTGTACCTAGTGCATGGTATTTCATCTGTCGTTATATTTTATAACTGTTTGAGACTCTTCCAATTCATTGACCTGTTATCAATTAGGATCATAGGATTGAGACGAAAATCTTCACTACCATAATTAAAGATAAGTTAGGTAAGCCAGCTGGTAAAGGACGTTGAGTCTTCAGTGGTCTGGGGACAAGTAAGATGACTACATGAATCTTAATTTTTTTTTAAATGGAAACATCGCTTTTAAATGGGTTAGCACTATTTTCCACCCAGCAAACCGCCCTTTACACAATCGGAAATAAATTAAAGATGGCGGCTAATGGGAAAGAAACTTGCAGCTAAATCGAGAGATCGGAGCACAGACGCCATATTGAAATTTGTCACGTGAAACGTGAACTAAAAGATCAATATTAAATGTCACCATCGTTACGCGCGCGAATTGTTTTATCGTCTTGCCGCGAAATACGATTTTACCCACTTAACTTTTTGTAAAAACATCATCGTATGCGCATTATCAACTTTCTTGTTCTCCTTCCATTGTATTGCTCTATAATAAAGCTAAATTTCTTAACGTTTTAAGTTCTTTATTATTCGTGAAAAGCGGTATGTGGAATAAGAATACGAAGGTATTGCAAGTTTAATTGCTTCATCACACTAAGCATATGCACATACATTAACTGAATTGCAAACACTACTTTAGATGTTACATGGCAAGGATCAACAACTGAATCATCATCTGTACTGCAATTTACACCTTTGGTAAACCATTTCTCAATCTTTGGCAACAAAGACTCAAAAGCCTGACCTCTAGTTAGCTTGCTCAGTACGGCTCTATCTTTTTGAAGCTTTTTGAGAGACAAACCTCCAAATAAATTATGTACATATAATTAACAAAACTAATTTCCCATTTCAATATTATGAATTTTTAATGCAAGACTTTAATCCTATGTCATGTCAGGGCCTATATTCATGTTGCCTTGCACCCCCATCCCCATTGCACTGCAAAGGTCTGAACTAAATAACCTAAATAACTGCATAAAATTTGCAAGTAGTGCAATGCAGTGGAAGTTCCGGGGTAAGTCAGAATATGTTTATGTTTAGAAGCTTATTATAAATTTAAAATACTATAATAACAACACTGCTGATATTTATATTATTATTACAAATTATTTTCAAAATATTGCCAATACGGCAGTTGTCAAGTAGTTTCATGTATTCTGACTTACTCTGCAGCGAAAGTAGTGTTTGCAATTCAGTTAATGTATGTGCATATGCTTAGTGTGATGAAGCAATTAAACTTGCAATACCTTCGTATTCTTATTCCACATACCGCTTTTCACGAATAATAAAGAACTTAAAACGTTAAGAAATTTAGCTTTATTATAGAGCAATACAATGGAAGGAGAACAAGAAAGTTGACAATGCGCATACGATGATGTTTTTTTACAAAAAAGTTAAAGTGGGTAAAATCGTATTTTGCGACAAGACGATAAAACAATACGCGCGCGTAACGATGGTGCATTTAATATTTATCTTTCAGTTCACGCCTCACGTGACAAATTTCAATATGGCTTCTGTGCTCCGATCTCTCGATTTAGCTGCAAGTGGGAAAGAACCAAAAGCTAAAAGGAAACCATGCATGCACTGGTGCTTGGTCGTTTTGAGATGGCGAGTAATTTTATATTTTTATAATACAGTTTTTAATATCAACATATGAAAATATTTACAGATAAATGTTGCAGTATAAATTTTCATGCAACCACCTTAAGTTATAAACTTATAATCCAGGCTGGAAAATATGTCGTTTTTCGACGATTGTGCAAAATATTATATAAAATATTATATTGTGTAAAATATTAGATTGTGTAAAATATTATATTGTGTAAAATATTATATTTCAAAGTAAAGGGCGGTTTGCTGGGTGGAAAATAGTGCTAACCTTTTAAATGTTGGTTAAATGTTAGCAATAATATAAATAAATATTTACGAAATGAACTTACATGAAAATAGTTTTATAACCATTAAGCTAGTTAAGTAAAGGAGAAATACATTTTTATAGGTTTTATTATCTGTGGATTTTACAATGATTCACAGTTTGTTTATCATCAACCATTCAGGGTGAGACGGTAGTGACAGTATGTATTGGTTTTATATTTGTTTGTTTTCAATGCTCTTCTGTTGGTTTTGTACGTATCAGCTTGTGATTATTGTGAGAAGTACTTTACAATTATTTGAATGAGGTGAAATAAGATTAGTTTCAGTAAGATAATAAAAGAAAGCTTGAACAATGTCAGAAGCCAGTGAAGGTAGATTATGAGAAGTATCATGTGACAGGATTAATACCCAATACCTAGAAAAAATAAAGAATGCATAAAAATCGTGTAATGTTACCTGATATCTGTAATTTCAATAGTGTTGAAGTCGGTTAGATGATGCCATTTTGATGATTTCAGCTTCCTCAATTGTTTAGTTATCACAACTTTACACCAAATGGGTGACTGTGTGTCTGTCACTAGGTCATATGATGTTTTTCATGTTTATTTAGGGATATATTTCTGGAAAAACATTGGAGAAGTGTTTTGGGACGCTCTGTTTGTGATTATTTCTTCGAAGCTCAAGGAAAGGTATTTAAATGAATTTTTGTGTAAATTGTTGTTTGTGCTTGTTTAGTTGAGTAGTTTTAAGGTACTTTCATGAACGGTTTTCATGTTATATTTTTCTGATAAAAATGCTCCTAAACAAATTAAATATCATCTTTTATGTTCAGGCTACTTCTCCAGAAGACATTCCTCCTGTAATTGCAACAGGATTCAGTTATCTCATCAGTATATTTCGCCATGATCTCTTCTTTGTTTCTGTTGTTGAAAATGAAGGTTTGTGTTTATATTAAGGTTAGTTAATGTTTTATTAATGTTTATTTTGAATCGATTGCCTCTAATCCAATCATGAGATTGATTGCTAGTTTTAATTTAAAAAGTATGCATTACATTGCAAAGAAGTGTTATCACTCAATAAAAGGCATTGCATTAGGATTCTTAGTGGTAGATAAAAATAATTTAGTCTTCATATCATCAACATGTGGTAAACACTTTCATGATTATTATTATTGATGAATTGAAAACATTCCTTTCCAGTTCCACCTTTGTTTGTAATTGAATTTCTTCATCGAGTGGTTGACTTGATCAAAGAGTATTTCTCTGACTGTACTGAAGCAATCATTAAAGAAAATTGTGTCATTGTATATGAGGTTTGAGATTAGTATATTTTGTAGAGAATCCAGCTGTTTGATAGATGAATTTCAATTTTTTTCTGTTGTGTGTGATGTAAAATATGATATTATATTTTTATATTCTTCAGTTATTGGAAGAGATGTTGGATAATGGATTCCCTCTTGCTACAGAGTCAAATGACCTTAAAGAGTTGATAAGACCTCCTAGTATAGTTAGAAATGTTGTTAATAAAGTGACTGGAGATAGCAAGTAAGAACCTTCCTTATAGTAAACATATGAGCCATGTTTTTATGTAGTGATCTATATGTTGTTCATATAAGGATCAGATATAAATATAAAGCAAATCCGTAAAACCAATAAACATTTCTATATTTGCATTGTTTTTTATATGCAACTTACTACAATATTTCGTTAAGTTTGTTTTAGTTTACACATTTATGATCATTCTACATATAATTTAAGTTAAATATTTCATATTTTCCTAGTATGAGCAGTCATCTCCCAACTGGTCAATTGTCCAATGTTCCATGGAGGAGAACTGGTGTAAAATATGCAAATAATGAGGTACGTAGCTATATTCACATTGTTCCATTAAGAAATTTGAAAGAAAATTCTTTTTTATGCTTTGTTTTAGTTGTAATGGGATGAGTGAACTTTTTTCTTTTGTTAATTAGTTGAAATAAATATTGCTAATTAGTTGTTAGTTCTAATTATTCATAATTTGTTCCAATTAATTCTAATTATCACAAATTAGTCCTAAGTATTTCTAATTAATTCTATTTATGTTATAGATTTACTTTGATGTAGCCGAAAGCATTGATGCCATCATTGATAAACAGGTAACAACATTATAATACTGTGGATTTCTTGTTGCCTTTGTGGAAGATGTATGACAAAAATATGTTTGTTGTTTTTGTTTGATGTTAAATTAAAACTAAGGACATGTACGAACTGAAAACTTGTGGCATGTTTAAATTCCTAAAATTTTCTGTTTTGTGTAGGGCTCCACCATATTTTCAGAAATACAAGGAACTGTAAGTGCCTTCCTTTTTTTATACTTTGTTATATGTACTCTCTAGTACAACATTTTAAAGATTTTTTCACCTTTTTTCAACTTTGTTCTTTCAGATTGACTGCAACTGTAAATTATCTGGCATGCCTGGTATATTTTTGATACTTTGTTATATCTCTAGATTAAAATTGATTTTATCTGTAGGTTAAAGATTTCTATTAATTATAGATCTCAACATGTGTTTTACAAATCCTCGTATCCTTGAAGATGTCAGTTTTCATCCTTGTCTTCGCTTCAGAAGATGGGAGGTACGTAAGTGTGAATGTTGAATATGGATTGTTTCTGGTCGAATTCAACACAAATTATTCTTAATATGACTAATAACAATTGGCTTTTTACATTGAACACTTTTCTTTCAAACTTGCACTAAAACCGCGTTCAAATGTCTGTGTATTTTAGTCTGAACGAATTTTGTCATTCGTCCCCCCGGATGGTCGTTTTCGTTTAATATCATATAACGTGGCAACCGGGTGGGTGTTTTAGCAGTTATATTTTCATGATAAAATTGTCTATTTTGATGGTATTTTTTGTTTTTTGTTTAGAGTAAATATGCTACCATTGTTTGCAAAGCCTCGTGTCTTGTTTCAAGAGGTTTATCAACTGTTGAAATTATTTTAAAATCTTTTTTATTGATTAAAATAAATTAAAGTGTTTGATTTTGCTGCGTTTTAATTCGTACGACTGTTCAAAACATTGATTCGATGATCGTCTTTTACTTGGTTGTTTCAGGGTGGAAGTGGAAGATTTGAATTGTCGATAAGTTCAAAACCAGTTATGGGTAAAAATGTATGTACAGTATTTATAATCATGTTAATTTATCAAACTGTTGTTGCATCTTCTTGCATTTATAGACTTAAAGATATAACCTAAACTAGTCCATTTTTTTCATACGTATTATCTCAATGCATTTTGTATAAAACTAACTACATCGTCCTAACGTAATCATACCATGTCAAATATTGTATACATTAACTTTTTCAAAGCCTTTTCACTCATTGTTTCAATATTTTATTGAGATCGAGAATGTTGTCGTGACTGTTCCATTTCCTAAACAAGTTCTCAACCTTAACTTGACTACAAACGGTAAAAACACTCATAAAATATTAAACATTACAGTCTGATGTTTCATTGCTCTTCATTGACGTTTCCCATCAACATTTATGACTTGTGTTCCATGTTTTCAGTTGGTACCTATTCATTTGATCCAATCAAAAAAGAGCTTTCATGGGAGGTAGGTTCATGAGGAAATTGTCACGATCACGTGGTTATGTGAATCTAACGTTACTTTAAACAATTTTAGATCGGTAAAATACAATCTCAGACACCTCCACCTAACATTAAAGGAAATGTAAGTAAAATTGGTTTTTATTTTACTTTTTGCTCGTCTCAGTTGATTTACCGAAGTCCAACCATGTTTTTCAAAAGAATATTTCCAAACTTTTTACATACGAAACAAAGTCGACCTTCACAACAGTCTTTGCTCACTAACTAAAGTCGATCTTCACAACAGTCTTTGCTCACGAAACAAAGTCGATCTTCACAGCAGTCTTTGCTCACTAACTAAAGTCGACCTTCACAACAGTCTTTGCTCACTAACTAAAGTCGACCTTCACAACAGTCTTTGCTCACTAACTAAAGTCGACCTTCACAACAGTTTTGCTCACTAACTAAAGTCGACCTTCACAACAGTCTTTGCTCACTAACTAAAGTCGACCTTCACAACAGTCTTTGCTCACGAAACAAAGTCGACCTTCACAACAGTCTTTGCTCACTAACTAAAGTCGACCTTCACAGCAGTCTTTGCTCACTAACTAAAGTCGACCTTCACAGCAGTCTTTGCTCACTAACTAAAGTCGACCTTCACAACAGTCTTTGCTCACTAACTAAAGTCGACCTTCACAACAGTCTTTGTTCACTAACTAAAGTTGACCTTCACAACAGTCTTTGCTCACTAACTAAAGTCGACCTTCACAACAGTCTTTGCTCACTAACTAAAGTCGACCTTCACAGCAGTCTTTGCTCAGTAACTAAAGTCGACCTTCACAACAGTCTTTGCTCAGTAACTAAAGTCGACCTTCACAACAGTCTTTGCTCTCTAACTAAAGTCGACCTTCACAACAGTCTTTGCTCACTAACTAAAGTCGACCTTCACAGCAGTCTTTGCTCACTAACTAAAGTCGACCTTCACAACAGTCTTTGCTCACTAACTAAAGTCGACCTTCACAACAGTCTTTGCTCTCTAACTAATGTCGACCTTCACAACAGTCTTTGCTCACGAAACAAAGTCGATCTTCACAGCAGTCTTTGCTCACTAACTAAAGTCGACCTTCAACAGTCTTTGCTCACTAACTAAAGTCGACCTTCACAACAGTCTTTGCTCACTAACTAAAGTCGATCTTCACAACAGTCTTTGCTCACGAAACAAAGTCGATCTTCACAGCAGTCTTTGCTCACTAACTAAAGTCGACCTTCACAACAGTCTTTGCTCACTAACTAAAGTCGACCTTCACAGCAGTCTTTGCTCACTAACTAAAGTCGACCTTCACAGCAGTCTTTGCTCACTAACTAAAGTCGACCTTCACAACAGTCTTTGCTCACTAACTAAAGTCAACCTTCACAACAGTCTTTGTTCACTAACTAAAGTTGACCTTCACAACAGTCTTTGCTCACTAACTAAAGTCGACCTTCAGCAGTCTTTGCTCACTAACTAAAGTCGACCTTCACAACAGTCTTTGCTCACTAACTAAAGTCGACCTTCACAGCAGTCTTTGCGAACTAACTAAAGTCGACCTTCACAACAGTCTTTGCTCACTAACTAAAGTCGACCTTCACCACAGTCTTTGTTCACTAACTAAAGTCGACCTTCACAACAATCTTTGCTCACTAACTAAAGTCGGCCTTCACAACAGTCTTTGCTCACTAACTAAAGTCGACCTTCACAACAGTCTTTGCTCACTAACTAAAGTCGACCTTCACAACAGTCTTTGCTCACTAACTAAAGTCGACATTCACAACAGTCTTTGCTCTCTAACTAAAGTCGACCTTCACAACAGTCTTTGCTCACTAACTAAAGTCGACCTTCACAACAGTCTTTGTTCACTAACTAAAGTCGACCTTCACAACAGTCTTTGTTCACTAACTTAAATCGATCTTCACAACAGTCTTTGCTCACTAACTAAAGTCGGCCTTCAACAGTCTTTGCTCACTAACTAAAATCGGCCTTCAGTCTTTGCTCACTAACTAAAGTCGACCTTTACAACAGTCTTTGCTCACTAACTAAAGTCGACCTTCACAACAGTCTTTGCTCACTAACTAAAGTCGACTTCACAACAGTCTTAGCTCACTAACTAAAGTCGACCTCACAACAGTCTTTGTTCACTAACTAAAGTCGACCTTCACAACAGTCTTTGCTCACTAACTAAAGTCGACCTTCACAACAGTCTTAGCTCACTAACTGAAGTCGACCTTCACAACAGTCTTTGCTCACTAACTAAAGTCGACCTTCACAACAGTCTTTGTTCACTAACTAAAGTCGACCTTCACAACAGTCTTTGTTCACTAACTAAAGTTGACCTTCACAACAGTCTTTGTTCACTAACTAAAGTCGACCTTCAACAGTCTTTGCTCACTCTAAAGTTGACCTTCACAACAGTCTTTGCTCACTAACTAAAGTCGACCTTCAGCAGTTTTAGTTCACTAACTAAAGTCGACCTTCACAACAGTCTTTGCTCACTAACTAAAGTCGACCTTCACAACAGTCTTTGTTCACTAACTAAAGTCGACCTTCACAACAGTCTTTGTTCACTAACTAAAGTTGACCTTCACAACAGTCTTTGTTCACTAACTAAAGTCGACCTTCACAACAGTCTTTGTTCACTAACTAAAGTCGACCTTCACAACAGTCTTTGCTCACTAACTAAAGTCGACCTTCACAACAGTCTTAGCTCACTAACTAAAGTCGACCTTCACAACAGTCTTTGCTCACTAACTAAAGTCGACCTTCACAGCAGTCTTAGCTCACTAACTAAAGTCGACCTTCACAACAGTCTTTGCTCACTAACTAAAGTCGACCTTCACAACAGTCTTAGCTCACTAACTAAAGTCGACCTTCACAACAGTCTTTGCTCACTAACTAAAGTCGACCTTCACAACAGTCTTTGCTCACTAACTAAAGTCGACCTTCACACAGTCTTTGCTCACTAACTAAAGTCGACATTCACAACAGTCTTTGCTCTCTAACTAAAGTCGACCTTCACAACAGTCTTTGCTCACTAACTAAAGTCGACCTTCACAACAGTCTTTGTTCACTAACTAAAGTTGACCTTCACAACAGTCTTTGTTCACTAACTAAAGTCGACCTTCACAACAGTCTTTGTTCACTAACTAAGGTCGACCTTCACAACAGTCTTTGCTCACTAACTAAAGTCGACCTTCACAAATCCGTCGCGCGACTGATGTTTGAAACTCAAAAATTACCTATTCATATTAGTTAAAAATTCATTAATTATTCTTACTTTATTATCGCATTTACTTCGTGATAAAAATCCAGCTTTATTTATTATTGAAAACTAATGACTAATCCAATGAATATCTCCTTGGTAACCAGATCAGTTGAATTTTAATTGACCTGGAATAACCGACTGATAAGGGTGGCTTGACTGGTTCGACATATAAGGAGTCTAAGAACGCCAGAAACGCTATTTTATTGGTCAATGGCCAGATCAGTGGACAGTCTGGAATAATCTCGACCGATAATAGGGGTGGCGGACCTATAAGGAGTCAATTGCTATCTTACAATTGGTTCATTTGAATTTTGTCTTACTGTGATTGGTTTGACCTATTTCGACTGATAGCCAACTGAACTAATATAGTCAAGCTCACTGTCTGAATTGAATGTTTGATCGTTTCATAATAATTTTCTAAAGCATGATAGAAACTAAACTACAATCAGATGGAATTTATGGAAATCTTTTACAAATTCATATGTTGACATGAATGCTGCTTTACCAAACTGGGAATTTTTTCAAGAAGGGGCGAAAAATTTATGGATGAATTGTAAATGCTTGGCAAAGACGATCTCGCGAGCGACATTTCAGTCATTGATGTTCAAAAGCAAGCCAACATTGTTTTGAGTTTTATCAGCAGAAATTTACATCCAAAATCGTAAGTAAAGGACAACTGAAGTGTATGCATGAATTAAAATTGTAGCGAGAGACTTGCCGAGCGGAAATCGAATACGTGTGATAAAAATCAATGCCCAACATAAAGTTCTGATTAGAGCCATAGAAATAGACCAAAAAAAAAACAAATTGTGAAATTTAAATTTATTGTGACGTTTCGTCTTTACTCAAGACATCTTCAGACAAATAATAAATAGGACGTTAAGACAAGGTATTATATTTACAAAAAGGTGTTAAATTACTACTAAAGGAAGCGGTGTCGAATGGATACATGATAAGGAAGTTAGGAAGTAAAATAAAGAGAAATTGAAAGAGGTTAAGTGGAATGGAGTTTCCTTGCACATTAAGTGAAGGCTTGTGTTTATTGATTAGAAGGCTTTCATGGATGGAGAGTTCATAAGTATCGTTGGAAGAGGAGATTATTTTAAAGTCGTCTAAGTTGGGGTGTGTCCAGTTGCGTTAATGTGAGCAAGAATGCTTGATGATGCAGTGGGAAACTTGGTTGCCTGGGGATATTCCCAAGTGCTCCGAAAATCTGTGTGTAGATGACGTGTGGTTTGACCCACATACGAAGCGTTGCAGCTTCGACACTTGAATAAATAGACTACACCAGATCTCAGAGGTTTGGGAATTTTGTCCTTAAAGGGGAAGAAAGAAGAGATACGTTGAGAAGGGCGGAAAACAATTAATGGATATATGTGGAAGGCTGCAGCACAAAGGTTATTGATTTGTGTGAATTTGAAGGAGGGTATGCCGGTGAAAGGAAGACAGAAATAGATGGGCATTTTGTGAGCAGTCAAGACAGGTGGTTTAGGGGCAAAATTGTTGTTAAGGAAGCGACGTGTGATTTGGTCAATTATACGTGAAGGAAAACCATTTTTGGTGAGTGACTTTCTGGTAAATTCGAGTTGTGTATGTGGGTCAAACCACACGTCATCTACACACCAGATTTTCGGAGCACTTGGGAATATCCCCCCTTACAGGCAACCAAGTTTCCCACCCTGCATCATCAAGCATTCTTGCTCACATTAACGAAACTGGACACACCCCCAACTTAGACGACTTTAAAATAATTTCCTCTTCCAACGATACTTATGAACTCTCCATCCATGAAAGCCTTCTAATCAATAAACACAAGCCTTCACTTAATGTGCAAGGAAACTCCATTCCACTTAACCTCTTTTAATTTCTCTTCATCTCACTTCCAAACTTCCTTATCATGTATCCATTCGACACCGCTTCCTTTAGTAGTAATTTAACACCTTTTTGTAAATATAATATCTTGTCTTAACGTCCTATCTATTATTTTGTCTGAAGATGTCTTGAGTAAAGACGAAACGTCACAATAAATTTAAATTTTACAATTTGTTTTTTCTTTGGTCTATTTCTATGGCTCTAATCAGAACTTTATGTTGGGCATTAATTTTTATCACACGAATTCCTCATTTTCTTTGCGCTAGCGGTTGCAAACTGCTCTCCCGCTTTTCAAGATTAATTTTTTGCTTTTAGATAAACCAAAAGATACTTGGACGTGGAAACATTTTGAGAAATTTTGATGTAAAGATAATTTTCTTGTCATTTAAAAATGTTCTAATTTTTTTGTACACGTTGTGAATTGTTGATATCTTACAGTGTATGGTTGTTAGCTCCCTAATTAAACATTCTACACATCTATGGGGCGCCGAATGTGCTTTTATTATTTAAGTACATTATCGCATTATTTTTCATGATTTATTTAATTATATATGATAATTGCATTTAGTAGTTTAGTAGTTTGCTTATTTCAAATAACCATTTTTGTGACAACGTGCTTCAAGTTTATTATATCGAATAACCAGTTTTACTTCCTTTGATAAAATTTGGTTATATCAAACAACCACTTTTTTGCTAAGTGGTTATATCAAATAACCAAAATAATTTTGATATACTTGGCAAAGCAAAAAAAGTCAGAACGTGATAAGCCCACTCCCCCCTTCGGATTTTTATGTCTTCCGAGAGGTAGCGGTTTTTTCCAACCGAATTTCTATGCGCGCTTTGTGTTTGGTGAACTCTCTTATTTACGATTGTTTCATACAAAGGAAGGCTTTTGGTTTTCAATGAATTCCGCCGATTCCTCCGAAAGGCTTGCGACATCATTGACTGATGTTATAGGGCGAGCCATTCGTGAAACTAATCAAACTATTACGAACTCTGTCGAGGTAAGCAGTACATTTGAATAAGTAAGAAATAAATGCGTATGGTCTATGGCAATTATATTAAACTTGGCAACTCTATGTATAAAGTATCAGGTATTGCTTGTTGATTTCCCACAATTTCTATAGTGGTGATAACGGAATACCTATTCAAATGTGCTGCTTACCTTGGCAGAGTTCGTAATAGTTTCACGAATGGCTCGCCCTATAACATTAGAGGAATATTTACATAATTATTCTTTTACCGAATTAAATATTTTCCATTGTAAGAATGAAAATTCCATAGCTATGTTATGCTTGAAATATGGAGCATATCTGAAACAATTGAACTTTTTGCAAATACATGTATTCTTAACAAAAGTGGTTGTTGAGCAGATCATTGTTTTGTGAAAATCTTTGCTGTTAGTAAAACAGCATTGGAGCTTTTTATCTTTATATTTTCTACTACATGTCTTAGGTCATCTTACATAACGTTTTGAGAATGCTTTTAGATCCATTCAATTTCAGAAATCTCATCGGTATAGAAACAATCTTCACTTGGCATAAAGTCTTTTAGTTGTTTATCTCTTTGAAGACTTCTCATATTCTTTGTTTCGTATCGTCATGCAATATCCTTACATATGTTAATAAGAATTATTTATAAATAAAATAATGGGACGGTGTAATAAAGAAGATATTATTTTTATTGTACTTGCATGCTCAAAACAATTATTTTGTGTTGACGATTTATGGGATATATTTTGAGATATTCTCACCTAGGTTTAATTCACTACCAAAGTTTATTCATCATTACCAATAATGATATATTACTATAATGCGGTTATGAGTTGTTTTAAAACAAAACTACTGAAGCCACGACGTTTTGCAAGTTGGTATAATATTACGGAATAAAGATTAAAGATAACTGTTAGTGGTTGTTTTTGCATGGGTTGCTAATCAGTTAATCACTATGACTATGTAGGAAGCAATGATGTAAATGTACATTTGTGCAACTGAAATATAATTAATTGATAGATTTTGCACTTTTCTTTCTATTATTATATATGTATATCTGCAAAGTTATGATACCTTAGGTTATATACATGTGTAATAATTTTTCTGCACTTAGATTTTCCCTTGTGAGCACAGTTAACCTGTCATGTGTAAAGCTAAACGATTGGTTGTAAAATACAGTATTTGTATTTCTTTACACGTAACAATTATAATATAAGCATTACGCTTTTTAGGCATCGATGAGAAAATTTATGTATTGCGCTGATGATGCTTGTACAGGACAGTACATACTGTATCATCAGTCCTATATTATAAAGTGCAAAATTAAAGTTACAAGGCTGACCTAAAGTTTTTACAATAGTAAAAATGAAAATGTATACAGCTGCGTAGAAACTCATGTTATGGTTATTCTGTATTTGCGGTATACTAATTTGGACAAAGTTTGTGTACTTAAGTTCATCATTTTACTTGTGCTAAATAAATACAAAACAATTGCACTTATGTAACCTCGATGAATGCAACGATTTTTCACCTCATGATGATAATTTTACAATTGTACGAAAAAGAACGTTCTCTATTCTCACTTATAAAATTCATTTCTTAGCGTAAGAGCTAATTTATTAACGTTGATGAGCTTGGAAATGTTTTCTACGTTGCACACAACATACGTGTCGCACATAAACCAATCACAACGTTACGACAAGTACTAAAGAACATAAAGGATAAAGAAAAACCCAACGAACGACAAGGTGCAGTTTACAAAATAAACTGCTCCTACTGCTACGCCTCCTATATCGGGGAAACTGGCAGGAACTTAAACATAAGACTTACTGAACACAAACGAGCTACTAAGAAGCAAGACAAAACTAATCACATTGCCGAACATCACCGAATCACAAAGCACAACATTGACTGGGACTCGGCAAAATGCATTACTTACAGTACTGACTATAGACAACGGCTAACATTAGAAAGTTGGTATACCAACTTGGAACAAGCCCCCCTGAACAGATCACAGCAATTACCGGCACCTTACAAACGACTTATTCACAATACAAAGAAACTATCAACTAAAAACATTAAACTTCACACTAATTCACAATGGCAATACACAATTGACACCCACACATTACAACTAAAAACATCACACCTAAATCACACATCACAACTAAAAATAAAAATATTTCAGTTCACACTAATTCACAATGACAATACACATTTCCAGTACACACAATACAATGACGTAAGAACCAGATAAAAATACGGCTAACCTGACGTTTACTCCTCATTTGACTCTGAAGATGACTACCGCTAAGGTTGTCGAAACGTCAGTCAACAACAACAAAAACAGTCCTTCTCAGTAATATACCAACCTGGACGATCGACATTTACAAACATGTAACGTTACTCCCGGGTTCAAACCATTTACTTTATTACGATCACATTTAATGTTCAACGTCAATGTCTATGGTCTACGATCTATCTTACAATGGTTAAACTACTTCTATTTATACAAGATATTACGTATGGATATCTTTGTTTCTTTACTAAATGTGGTTAATTTGCAATAACAGAAACTATTAGGAACTATAAAAAATATTGTGATTATTGCACATAAGTATCTCTTAAAATAATCATTTAGTTAGTTATACTTGACTTAATTATTTACTAATTACAGGAAGAATATGAGAGCATATCTTAACACATATGTCACGGAGAAATTTTAAATAAATTAGGCGCAAAGGAATCGAAGTTTGTTGTCAATTATCACTACTTAGAAGAAGACAATGGAACAGAATATGTCTATTTGGTAGAATGTGACAGACCTATGTAAAGAATCGCTGGAGGATTTTGTGCAATCAGAATCAAATAGTTTGGCTTATCTTCAAAAATCTCCTCCCGAAATTCTCAGACACATTTTAAAAGATTATCTGATCCTCATAGTGGCGAAAATCCTATTCTCCATCGCGATCTAAAGCCTTCTAATGTACTCCGAGATGCACAAGGAAAACTTCTGATAGCTGACTTTGGTATTAGTCGAATATTGAAAGATGGAAGTAAGACAAGAGTAAGTAATGCTAAAAAGGGAACTCCGTATTGGATTGCTCCTGAATCATTTTGTACAGATAAAAATCCGATTGGCAAAGGATGTTACAAAACAGAGTTGGATGTAATGGTAGTTGTTTGCAATTTTAGTTTAAAAGCTTTTTTTTGAATTTCTTTCATCATATTACGTTGTGATTTATTTTAGACTGCAGGAATGGTAGCTTTTATGTTGCCACAAAAGGAGACCAACCTTTTAAAATTGAAGAGAATATATTGAAAGGAAACTCTGTTGGCTTGTAGAAAATAGATAATGTCGATCTAAAAGATCTACTTTCGTAGATGCTACAGCTAAAACCGGAAGACAGACCATCGGCCAACGAAGCGTTAAAACACCCTTATCTACAAACCGATGAGGTGAATTTTGATTTGCTATGTGATGTTGGGAATGAACCAGAAATCAAGACATCATCTCGACATTCTCTTACCTCAGATGTTCGTGAGCAGTTAAATCTTTCAATAGATTGATGGACCGTATCGATCATGAAGTCTTTAAACATTTCCATAAAGTATCCGACTCTACATGGTTAGGTTGCCTAAGATTTTTACGAAACGTTCGCTAGCATTGGCATGATAAACCTCGTCCACAACTGTCATGGAAACTAGAGTATTTTCTTCAACTTTTTAAGGAACTGCCTGTTCTAGTTCACAGAACCATAAGATTGAGCCAAGCTATAAGATTGATAACCAAGCTATAAATTTGGGGTCCATGACACTATATTTGTTATTTTCACTCTAGTTCTCCTCTTCATTTATTGTACTTAATGCATGTATGTTTTGAATTCTGTATATTGCCGTTGCAAACATTTTTTGGACAGTGAACATCCTGTAAAACTTGAAGAATGCAAGGGAAAGAAAAGCGAAGCTGTTATTGATTACCCTGATCTTAACGGTAAATAGCTATGTAACAACAAACTAATTCTGTGTACGTGTCACTTTTCTTAAATATTCTACCAAAAACCGTAATCTCTCCACTTGTATCTGGTGCATCATTTTCTAATTTTGTGCAACTGAAAATAACGGTTCAAGCATGTGTGATAGTACTAGCAATAGTCGAAAATCTTTAGACGACATTAACGATTTGTCCAATATCCAAAGATAGTGAAGAGTACCTACGAATCATGGTGATTCAGAGACTTTGGCATATTTTTATCGTATGGTAAAAAGAAGCTTATAGCTTATTATGTTGTCAAACTTGTAAAGAACACATATGCAATAATAAATATTGCGTATCCTTTGCTTTAAGTCAGCAAATGCTTTCAAATCGTATACATTAATGCTGAAATTTTGATTTTAGGCTTGAGTAAAACTGTAAATAATGTGCATTAAATGTAGAAAGTATTAAAGGAAAACATACTATAGTAAAAAGTAAAAGTACTGCGTACCATTCGAAGGCATAACCAAATACCTATAGTTAACATAATTTTTTGAAAATCCTCTTTCGATATGGTAAAGATACGCTCAGATTTTTTCTAGTAAGACCGTCTTACACACAGCAGTCACGACGAAGTCAGTATGATCAAGTTTACAAAATATATGACACTCTCGTAAACAAACAACCATTTACAGTTCCCAAAAATTGAATTGACGAACAGGATGATAGTCAAAGATAGCCTGATTTTAACCTGCTAAATTGTTGTGAAACTCTTCCAGCTTCATTGGAGACAATCCAGAAATGATAGTTTCTCGTGTATACTAAAAATATACTTTGTTATACGCATCCAACTCAAATCGTAGGCATAATTATCGATCTTTTACCATTCCTAGATTTCACTCAAATATTTACCATTTTTTTCAGTTCATACAGGAAAGACTCGTCAACATAATTATCTGGGTAATTTTGTTCTTCGTACAAGATTTTTCTCCATGGCTTTTTCACCATTATAAGAAAATGTTTCTTAAAAAATAACAGAGTGTGACTTTGCTTGACAGACAGTCAAGTCATCCCACCTGAGATAGCAAAGGTTATAAGGGTGAAATTAATTACTTTGTATGAAGCATGTATATGTAAAAATGCACATTAACTCAACCAACATAACAGCATAGTTAAATTTCAAAATTCTCATACAAAACGAATGATTTTTCCAACAACAACTAGGCCATTTCGAAAACCCACCAACCAATGACCAGTTCATTGTATCCCATCTGTCAGAATCATTGGTCAGAATGGATTGCAAATCGGCAATACCAGGGCAATACCAAGCAATACTATCCATTTAACATCATGTACACTAACTTTAGTCTTAAAAATATTACTGATAAATAGTCATTATGTCATCACAGTCAATTTGTATTCCTAAAGTACAAATGTACAAGAACAAAAAATTATAAAAATACAGTGTTGGCTAAGAATTTTCTCTATAATTCAGCAACGCAATATACACATTTACTTCTTTACCGACCAAACTATCAATAGCTTGTTCATTTTGATGTTAAAAAGAAGACAAATAATGTTATTTCTTCTTCATCGAGCTGCTTCATAAAGATGAAAATTTGCTGAAAAACAGTGGAGAGCAGGACCCTGGTAAGACGCTGAACGAGTTTGGGGAAGCGGCCCAGCGGGGGAAAAACCTTCACACGTCATTACCACTGTCATTGCGATGAATGGGAAGTGGGATTGTAACTTTACCAAGGAATGTTTAGGTGTAGAAAAGCTCTAGAATAGTTTACAACGAAATCGAAGTGCCTGTATTTCGGATATTCGGTGATAATGGCGATGTCTGAAACGCATCGTGAATTTATAAGAAAAAACAGGGAATATATCAAAAGAAATCTTGAGGTTGATGCTGTTTGGCCACAAATGACGGACGTTCTGGATCGTAACTGCGAAGACAAAATTCGAGCAGAATCCACCCCTGAAGCTCGTACTTTGGAACTTCTTAATTTGCTGCATCGGCGAGGAGATGAAGCATTTATATCCTTTATTAGAGCGACACTTAAAGTTCAAAGATGGGTTGGGGAATACTTGGCTGACTTAGCCGGACTTAATGTGAACCATATACTTCCAAATGCCACGCAAAGTACGACATTTTTTATTTCTTATACTGTTATACATTACGTACTGTGAGCTTGTTTGCCTGTCTATTATTTATTCATTCTGAAGATGTAAAATTCTCTAGAAGATAAGAATGCAAATATCAACTTCACTTGCAGAAGTTTTAATGAAAAATCATCTTCTTATATATAAACAGAAACATCAGAAAGTTTTAAACCATTTATTTTACCACTGTCTTACTTAGGAGAAACTGAAGAGCCTGGAATGAAAGAGGTCCATCGTCAAATTCTTGTGAGCCGTTTGTCCACATTTAAGCAATCACTTAATGTCACTGAAATGGTTGAAAGTTTATCCAACAATGTGGCGATCACAAGCAGAAATCCTGGTGTCAACATCAGAGCTGTGTTGCAAGAACTATCTTTTGACAAAAAAGTGGAAAAGCTTATATGTGATGTGCTTCCGCGTTTAGGGCCTGATGCATTCCAATGTTTTTTCAAAACCTTAGATATAAATCAGCCGCAACTTGCCCATGATTTGAGGCAGTCAATAAAAGGTATGTAAAAAATGTAATAATTATTCTTCCTTGTTATTACATATAAATATTTATCCCTTTACATATCCTGTAAGTCAAATTCATCTCACTGATTTGTCAGCTACTCATTCTGGTGAACTAATTGATGAGAGACAATTCTATCAGGAGTCAACAAATGCTCATCTGACTGGGCAGACCACAGCCCAGTTTAATCTTGAAATGACCTGTTCAGATCTACCTGACCATGTTCAAAGAAAGTTAGAAGAACGCTTAAACAAAGGCAATGAGTTATTAGAGAATGACTGGAGAAGGTGATTTTCAAATGAATTAAAGTTTTTAAACTCAGTTGATGTTTTATCTTTAGGTAACTAAATGTTTTAGTAAAGTTTTATTCCTTAACTGAGCACAAATTGACTTTTTCAAGCCTGTACAAAGCAGTGAATTTGCCACAAGGTAAAGAAAACATCATTGCTGAAAATTCTCTGGTAACCCCACACGATATGTGTTGGACACTTGGTTTGATAGAGACGGACAACATGCCAATGTAAGAGCACTGCTCCTAGCATTGAAAGAGTGTAAGCAAGGAGGTTTAGCTCATGAGATAGAAAGGGATTTGGATGTTAAGCTGCCTGATCAAGTTCCAAGACACCGTTGATGGAATCATGCAGTTAAATGAAAACGAGAAAAGAACTGGTAAGTGAAGTTGGAATGAGTGGTTGTCTAATTTTTCAAAGCAAAGCACGATCTTGTCAGATTGAGCAGTTGCATCAAAGTATAGTTTTGTACATACAACCAGACCACAAGTTTTGTTTATGCTATGTAAATCTCAGATCATTATTGTTCTTTTCCCATCTGTTTTTTTCACAGTAAGTAAACACATTAAAATTTACATAGCAGGACTAAATTTGTGGGATAGCAACGCCACTCCTCATCTGCAAGGATTAGTTTTCGAATAATAACTCCAAGTTCTTGAGGCTTGGTCTGACATGTTTTACTTTCATGTCCAAAAGTAAGGTTGGAGATAAACTTTAGAGTTTGCTTTACATGATTGCTTATATTTAGGTCAATGTATTATTGTGTAAGGTCTAAATGCAGTAACGTAGCCAGCTCGACTTTTTACTCCCGCTTGTATCCAAATGTTTTTGTGTTTACTAGCTGTGAGAACAACAGATTTATAAAAAGATGAATAATGGTTATCCATAAGAATTTACATAACCATAGAAAATGTGCAGGCTGGCTACGTTAAGGTGTAAATGTTAAATAAATATTTCAACTTGGTTTAATTAAGATATCCTAATTTAGTCTCCATCTTAGTAAAGCTCCGAGGCTCGTGAAGGAGATACGGAGACAATTAAAAGTTCAGTTGATAAATTAATTGAACCAAGGTAGTGTTGATGTTCTCTCGCCCTACGGGCTCGGTCTTTACAAAAAGACATCGGTCCGATATTTCTCCGTAAAGACCTCAAGCTCGGTTATTAAGGGCTTAATAACGCGCATGATTGGTAGATGATTTTGTGATTATTGTATGACAACCAATCATGTTGCAAAAAAGGCTTTAGATTTATTTGTGATAGAACGGTTGTGGTTGACGATTGTGCTTTTAATATTGGGCGGTTTGTGCTGTTAAGATTTTGTAAAGATTTAAAGAGGGTGGTTAAATACTTTTCTATCATGCAAAGAAATTGTTTGCAAAGTTGGTTGTTACATTCTTACTATAAGGTTAAGTTAAACCACTGATTCAATTTAAATTTGAATATTCAGTGAAATCAGCTACATGATGATTAGTACATAAGTTCACTGATTAACAGAGCCATAGTTTTATTATTTTCATTTAACTGAAAATCGTCAATATAGGCGTGAAACACTGGGTAGTAAATCATATCAAGTATTGTTTGAATATGTAATTCAAAGTTATATATGTATAAATATGTATAACTTTGAATTACATTTAAACAATATACTTGATACAAAAAACAGACGTACGTATTTCTCATGTTATTTTTTATGGTAGACGATGAAAGAAGTTTGGGTGAACTTCCAAAAACAGGTAGATAAGTCTTTTCAATATATGTTTACATGATGCTGATTTTTGATGATTCACGTAAACTACGAAATCTCATTTATCTTTTTTTGTTTTCCGTTATGATGTATTTAATGAAGTACACCAATCTTCAATTAAAAAAAAGCGTTGCATACATGTGTAGAAATACTGCATGTGTAGTCGGTTTCCTGTTGCGCATGTAATCCATTGCTCGTCAGTGGATACTATTTTCTAAATAACATTTTGATAGGACTTTACATTGCCGACAGTTCTCTTAGACTGCAATTGACGTATCTATGTTGAATCTGTCGAATCTTTAAATGTACATCGCACAAAGCAAATGTCATTGTATTCATGACCTGTATAGCCTGACTTCCATCGTATGTTTAAATTCATTGTCATTAAGAATCGTTTAAACAATAGTCATATTGATTTTCATTGAAGTAGATTTGAGTGTAGATGTGTACGTTTATGTTGGATGTCTGCAAAATGTTTTTTGATTCTGTAACTATGTCAAATTTATTTATTTAATATTTTACTTAATTTTCATCAATTTAACACAATTATTGCAATCGTGACCTTAAAACACCGTTTTACGTTATTTGTTTTTAATATGGTTATGTACTTATACGTTGCTTGAAAGTGATGCATGAAGCATGAAAACGTTGCAAAACAAAAAGCATACAAATATTAATATTCATAAATGCGCAAAAAGCACTTCCTGTCAAGGCATTTAGCTAACATCTCGGACGTTTCGTACTTTCGGTTTGACTTCATGATGTTAGTTGCTCCTTCTAAACATACACAATACAATTTACTTCATGCTAATCTTGACGGTATACGCATTTTACTACAGACACCATGAGATATTAAATGGTTTGTCTCGTTCCTTGAGCCATGCGTATTTAAATAGCTCAGTTCCGTTTCTATACGATTGCTGGGACGATGAGTGTGGTTGGTTTGACGCACGAAACATCCGGCCGTCATACCAATGTACAGTGTTGATTCGTTACAATCTGTTCTTGTTTGGCCTTGTAAGCAAGTGATGAAATCATTTTCTTTCAAGAGGGCACTTTTATTTTATTCGACAATTGCAATTTTTTTGTGATGAATGTAATTTAAGGCTATTTTCAACAAGGTGGAATTTTCCGCGCGTAATAAATTATTGGATGAGGCTGAGCAATATCAAGAATTATTCAGACCGAGGTCAATGTTATCTTCCGAAGCGAAGCTGAGTATAGTTGAGGGATGTTGGTTTATATTGATACAAATTTTTCTAACTGTATATTTTAGCTATTCAAAAAACTGAGAAAATTGAACTTTTTTATTAAAAGAATAAAGTAAAAGGTTACATGATGCTACCATTTTATTTTATACATTTATTTTTATGAAAAATGTATTGATGTTTTTACTATAAACAAAGTTCAAGGTCAGTAGAGTAGTCAACTGTATTTTGTTTTACTCATGTACTTTTGTGTGTCATTGGTGTGTTGTATATTAATGTTTTGTGTGAATACCATTAACTACATGTTGCTAAATAAAGTTGAAGAAACATAAGAGTTTAAATTATGGGACCATCATTTTTTATTTTGTCTGATACATTTTGTTTTTTTCATTGATGAAAAAGTTACAAAAAATGTGAATTAAAAATGTAGTTTTACACATGTTATCTACATGAGAACTAGCAGATTTTTCAAAAAAGATTTAAAGAAATCTTTAAGACAAGCTTTAAAAAGAAAACGAGGACTATCATTTTTAAACTAGAATACCTGCGTCGCTCCAGATTATATCTTTAGGATAGAGGACGACGAAAATATCACCAAGATTGCATTACGTTATCATCATGTCTAATATCATTTGCAAACGTCTCAAATCCTTTTGGATATTTCTTTTTCTGATCATCAATTAAAACATCTAAAATTTGCATTACCGATCCGATTATCATTTGTTATTATTGCTGACTAAATTACTTTGATTTTAGGCTTGAATAGAATTCTAAATAATGTGCATTAAATGTAGAAAGTATTAAAGGGAAAACAGACTTTAGTAAAAAGTTAACTTACTGCGTACCATTCGAGGGCATAGCCAAACACCTATAGTTAACATAATTTTTTGAACATCCTTTTTTGATTCGGTAAAAATACGCTCAGATTCTTCCTAGTAAGACCATCTTACACAGCAGTCACAACGAAAACGGTATGATCAAGTTTGTTTACAAAATATATGACACTTTGTCGGAAACAAACAGCCATTAACAGCTCCCAAAAATCTGTTAAAATCTGTTGCAATACTTTTTAGTAATATTGTCATACTTAAATGTTTCATGTTTACATTGCTTCAGCTTCTGAAGAAAAGGAATCGTTGCTATATCTACTAAATGATAATGACAGTGATGCTGATATTGGTATAACGTCTTCTACATCAGGACCTAGTAAGTAATGGAATTTTATATGCAAATATTTACACAAACGTAATCTTTATTGCCCTTTGAAATATTAAGTAGAAACAAGAATGCAATGTAACCATTGAGATTCGTTTATATCTTCCTTATTCACATACTTTTGTTAACGGTCAAAAATGTGAGATTTAATGAAGAGTGAAATAACTCAGCAAGTATTCCTTTTATCTTGCTCTGATGCATTAACCGTGTTAGCAAACATTTGCCCAAACATTTCCATGGTTTTCAACGCTAAACACAAACAATAATTTATAACCCAATATATTAATTTTAAAAGGTATCGTTATATGTAGCCAACTAAAATCTTTTAATTCAAAAACAATACAGATGTTGTGGATCAAAATCATGTAAAAATGTTAAACTTTGTAAACATACAAATTTGATCAATATGTATAGAAAGTGAAAACTGGCTATAATGCTAAAAGTAAATTATGAAAACCATCATGATCAACGTGTCAGTTTTATGTATACGTTACATGTACACAAATTAACTTAAATAGAATATTGTTGAAAACATCCTTTAAAACATATTATTTGATTATCGGTAGCCAATAAAAGCCAATAATTCTGGTCAAAAACACAAGCTTTTCAGAAGGTAACCTTAAAAACATTAGGTTCTTTAATTCTCCGAACTCTTTTCACCTCGACAGATGCTTTCATCTTTGATTTTTCAATCTCAATGTTTCCGCATTTAAAGTGAAAAGATCCTGACGTCCCTCAACGTCCTTTGAACTAAATATCCCTCATCCGTGTGTTTGGGAGCAGGAAAATACGCTGTTAATATAAATAAACTGAAACCAAGGCAAACACGTTGTTATGTTATTATGTTATTATTTAGTAGCTAAATATAAAAGTCAGTTCACCTTAACGGGCAAAGCGGTGTAGGTATTTCAAATCTTGTCTAATAGCCACATTTTTTTGATGTGCGTATAATTAGAAAATTAAATTGCTTCTTGATACATTGATTTATTCCTTTCTAAATAGTCTACTTTACTTTTTAATTGAAGAATTGCTGTCTCAACCATGGAAATGTTATGATAAATCAACAATGCACCAGCAAAAGTTCGGAATGATGGAAGAATATGGGAAGAAAAATCCAAGAAAAGTTAAACTCGTAAATGGTGTAAAGGTTATTTGTTCTGAAGAGTTTTTGCTTGGTATGGGAAGTGATGGAACTCGTGTTTACCTTGGACTCGGAAAAGATGGTTACGGAAAAGCAGTAAAACGATTGCTTCGAGATAACTGCGCGGAGTTAGCCAAACGAGAAAAAGAAATTTTGAATGAGTTGAATGCAAAGCGTTCAAATTATGTTGTGAATTATTGGTATCTCGAAGAAGAACCAGGCACAGATTATTTGTATTTGATATTAGATTTGTGTGAAGAATCGTTAGAAAGTTTTGTGAAATCTTCTACTTTGCAATATCTTCAAAAAGCACTTCCTACAATTCTTATGCAGATTTTAAAAGGTTTAGCTGATCTTCACAGCGGTGAGCGTCCTATTCTTCATCGGGATTTAAGACCCTCGAACGTTCTTCGAGATGTACAAGGAAATTTTTTAATCGCTGACTTTGGTATAAGTCATATGTTATCTGATGAATCTTCGACATATTGGAGCATACAAAGAGGAGCTAAATATTGGATAGCTCCAGAGTCATATGACGCATCAGATGATACAATTAATAAAGTTCGTTACAAAAAAGAGTCTGACATTATGGTAAGTTCTTGAAGTAGAAATAGAGGTCCAACTACAGGTCAAGGTTGTTTTTGCATTTGAATGTTGTATTTGGTAGGGATATCATTATCACTGCCACTGATATCATTATCACTTTTAAATATAATTTTTCTTTACCTTCATTGTACAGTCATATAGTGGCAAAATACAAATTGTACTGTATAAAATATAAAAATAATATATATGTATGATAATGAATTTATTGCAAGTAACAAATAAATTAACTCCATTTTTTATTGAAAATAGAATGCCGGAATGGTGGCTTATTATGTTGCAACAAAGGGGAAGCATCCTTTTGGAATTGAACGGCATAGACTGGACAACATTTTGGAAGGAAAACCAGTTGGCTTGGACAAAATCAATGATGCCACGCTCAAAGACCTTTTATCGTGGATGCTACAGCTAAAACCGGAAGACAGACCATTGGCCAACGAAGCGTTAAAACACCCTTATCTACAAACCGATAAGGAGAATTTCGATTTTCTGTGTGATGTTGGGAATGAACCAGAAATAAAGACATCATCTCCACATTCTCTTCCCTCAAATCTTCGTGAGCAGTTGAATCTTTCAATAAATTGGATGGACCGTATCGATCCTGAATTCTTTAATCATTTCAATAAAGTATCCGACTCTACATGGTTAGGTTGCCTAAGATTTTTACGAAACGTTCGCCAGCATTGGCATGATAAACCTCGTCCACAACTGTCATCATGTGTTAAAGATGGAAACTATCAAGAGTATTTTCTTCAACTTTTTGAGGAACTGCCTTATGTAGCTCACAGAGCCATAAGATTGAGTCATTGGAAGGCAAGACCTGACCTAGAGAAACATTTTCCAAATAAGACACAGAAATGAGTTTTCATTTTTGATGGCCAAGCTATAAATTAGGGGTCCATGACACTATATTTGTTATTTTCACTCTAGTTCTCCTCTTCATTTACTGTACTTAATGCATGTATGTTTTTAATTCTGTATATTGCGGTTGCAAAGATTTGTTAGACAGTGAACATCCTGTAAAACTTGAAGAAGGCAAGGGAAAGAAAAGCGAAGCTGTTATTGATTACCCTGATCTTAACGGTAAATAGCTATGTAACAACAAACTAATTCTGTGTACGTGTCACTTTTCTTAAATATTCTACCAAAAACCGTAATCTCTTCACTTGTATCTGGTGCATCGTTTTCTAACTTTGTGCAACTGAAAATAACGGTTCAAGCATGTGTGATAGTACTAGCAATACTCAAAAATCTTTAGACGAGATTAACGATTTGTCCGATATCCAAAAATAATGACGAGTACCTACGAATCATGGTGCTTCAGAGACTTGGGCATATTTTTATCGTACGGTAAAAAGAAACTTATAGCTTATTATATTGTCAAACCTGTAAAGAACACATATGCAATAGTATTGCGTATCTTTTGCTTTAAGGCAACAAATTCTTTCACGTCGTATGCATTAATGCTGAAATTGCGAAAAATGCTTGCCTAGAAAAAGAAGAGAGTTTTCGCTTAGAGTTATTAATCCTTTTAGCAGCTCATTTTACTTATTTTATTTATTTGCATTATTTATCCTAAGTGTAAATGGTCAAATCAAATGACGAATGAAAAAACAAGAACATTATCGTTTTCATTTTAAAGCTAAAATGTGCCAAATCAATGCAGTCTTTTTATTGTCTGCAAAAGAGGTTTATGGGAAAGCAATTGGCAAGAAGGAAATCAATGATACCACAATTCAAGATCCTCATTTATGTATGTTTTAATTTGAGGCTCTTAAGCAAGTTAAATTAAATAACCAAGCTGGATATTACATGGCCAGATTGCTATGAATTTTTATTGGATTTTACAATGTTATATAATTAACGATTGATACGCATAAAAAGGGTAACTTATTGAATTGGGGAAATTGGTAATATTTGATTAAAATGAGACTTTTATGTGAGGTTGTGACCATTTCCCAGTATTTCCTTTGTTGCAGCTTTGAAATTGTTCAAAGAAAATCTGTGTACGTTGAGGTTAATGATGACGAAGTCAAAGTTGTTGAATTTTTGTCTATTCAGGCTTAGTTGTGTTGCATTTTTCTTGAGACAAAAGATGGTATTATTTAAGCCACAAGCTGGCATTTATGAATTTCAGTCTTTTAAATAGTTAGCCAGATCTGTCTCTTTCAGTCATTTGTTCCTTGTTACGTCAAGATCTACATTCTCAGTTTATTTCCATTGATTCTATTATTGTAGTGTGTATAATTGGTGTGTATGGAACTTCAAAGTATGAATACTGCCGAGGGACTCCAGCTTATTAATTGCGTCCATGCATGTTTCGTTATTTTAATTGAATTCTTGTTTATTTTACCTTTAAATATTACAACATTGTATTAGTGCCGAGTAGAATGAGACTTATTTATTAAACTCAGGATTTGAACAAAGTTATTTTCCAGAATGCAGTCTATGTTTAAGGTTTTAACATGTTTGTAGACTCCGGGGACTCTGTAGCATGTTCATAAAAAAACTGAACGAAGTCACGGTCCATTCCTATCTCGAAATACGTTTTTCTAAACAAAATTAAAATCGACTTAAACAGAACATCTCTCCTTGTACCTAGTGCATTATATTTATCTGTCGTTATATTTTATAACTGTTTGGGACTCTTCCAATTCATTGACATGTTATCAATTAGGATCATGGGATTGAGACGAAAATCTTCACGACCATAATTAAAGATAAGTAAGGTAAGCCAGCTGGTAAATGCGGTTGAGTCTTCAGTGGTCTGGGGACAAGTAAGATGATTACATGAAACTTAATTCTTTTAAATGGAAACATCGCTTTTAAATGTTGGTTAGATGTTAGCAATAATATAAATAAATATTTACGAAATGAACTTACATGAAAATAGTTTTATAACCATTAAGCTAGTTAAGTAAAGGAGAAATACATTTTTATAGGTTTTATTATCTGTGGATTTTACAATGATTCACAGTTTGTTTATCATCAACCATTCAGGGTGAGTCGGTAGTGACCGTATGTATTGGTGTTATATTTGTTTGCTCTCAAAGCTCTTCTCTTGCTCTCAGCTCGTGATTATTATGAGAAGTACTTTACAATTATTTGAATGAGGTAAAATGAGATTAGTTTCAGTAAGATATTAAAGGAAAGCTTGAACAATGTCAGAAGCCAGTGAAGGTAGATTATGAGAAGTATCATGTGACAGGATTAATACCCAAAAAAATAAAGAATGTCATAAAAATCGTGAGATATTCCCTGATATCTGTAATTTTGATAGTCTTGAAGTCATTTAGATGATGCCATTTTGATGATTTCAGCTTCCTCAATTGTTTAGTTATCACAACTTTACACCAAATGGGTTACTGTGAGTCACTAGGTCATATGATGTTTTTCATGTACATTTAGGGATATATTTCTGGAAAAACATTGGAGAAGTGTTTTGGGACGCTCTGTTTGTGATTATTTCTTCGAAGCTCAAGGAAAGGTAAATGAATTTATGTGTAAATTGTTGTTTGTGCTTGTTTGGTTGAGAAGTTTTAAGGTACTTTCATGAACGGTTTTCATGTTATATTTTTCTGACAAAAATGCTCCTAAACAAATTAAATATCATCTTTTATGTTCAGGCTACTTCTCCAGAAGACATTCCTCCTGTAATTGCAACAGGATTCAGTTATCTCATCAGTATATTTCGCCATGATCTCTTCTTTGTTTCTGTTGTTGAAAATGAAGGTTTGTGTTTATATTAAGGTTAGTTAATGTTTTATTAATGTTTATTTTGAATCAATTGCCTCTAATCCAATCATGAGATTGATTGCTAGTTTTAATTTAAAAAGTATGCATTACATTGCAAAGAAGTGTTAACACTCAATAAAAGACATTGCATTAGGCATTCTTAGTGGTAGATAAAAATAATTTAGCCTTCATATCATTAACATGTGGTGAACACTTTCATGATTATTATTGTTGATGAATTGAAAACATTCCTTTCCAGTTCCACCTTTGTTTGTGATTGAATTTCTTCATCGAGTCGTTGACTTGATCAAAGAATATTTCTCTGACTATACTGAGACAATCATTAAAGAAAATTGTGTCATTGTATATGAGGTTTGAGATTAGTATATTTTGTAGAAAATCCAGCTGTTTGATAGATGAATTTCAATTTTTTTCTGTTGTGTGTGATGTAAAATATGATATTATATCTTTATATTCTTCAGTTATTGGAAGAGATGTTGGATAATGGATTCCCTCTTGCTACAGAGTCAAATGTCCTTAAAGAGTTAATAAGACCTCCTAGTATAGTTAGAAATGTTGTTAATAAAGTGACTGGAGATAGCAAGTAAGAACCTTCCTTATAGTAAACATACAAGCCATGTTTTTATGTAGTGATCTATATGTTGTTCATATAAGGATCAGATATAAATATAAAGCAAATCCGTAAAACCACTAAACATTTCTATATTTGCATTGTTATTTATATGCAACTTACTACAATATTTAGTTAAATTTAATTTAGTTTACACATTTATGATCATTCTACATATAATTTAAGTTAAATATTTCATATTTTCCTAGTATGAGCAGTCATCTCCCAACTGGTCAATTGTCCAATGTTCCATGGAGGAGAACTGGTGTAAAATATGCAAATAATGAGGTACGTAGCTATATTCACATTGTTCCATTAAGAAATTTGAAAGAAAATCCTTTTTTATACTTTGTTTTAGATGTAATGTGCTGAGTGAACTTTTTTCTTTTGTTAATTAGTTGTAATAAATATTGCTAATTAGTTGTTAGTTCTAATTATTCATAATTAGTTCAATTAATTCTAATTATCACAAATTAATCCTAAGTATTTCTAATTCTATTTATATTATAGATTTATTTTGATGTAGCCGAAAGCATTGATGCCATCATTGATAAACAGGTAACAACATTATAATACTGTGGATTTCTTGTTCACTTTGTTGAAAATGTATGACAAAAATATG